TGGTATCCCAAAACAATGACAACAGTAACATCAAACATCACGGATCACAGATCAAAACAAATATAATAATAATAATAATAAAAACATTTGAAATATTGTGAGAATTACCAAAATGACAGAGAGACATTAAGTGAGCAACTGGTATTAGAAAAACAGTGCTGATAGACCTGCTTAACACAGGGGTGCCTCCAACCTTTAATCTATAAAACTGAAGTGCAGTAAAGCAAAGTGCAATACAAATCAGCTATGCCTATATTATCATTGTCTTTAATTTATTATTATTACCAGCTGTAATAGATGTCCTACTAAATAGTCCACTGTGTTTCATAAGAGTTGATATTTTTAAATGTCAACAGTTTGATTAAAAATAATACTAAATGTTATGTTCCTATAATTATTCCCTAGCCCTCTCCAAAACACTCCTGCCTTCAGAACCCCAATTCTCCTCTCTCCAAATCAGTGATCCCCTTTCTTCTTTGGGAAACTACTTTTCAAGGTACTGCATTTATTATAGTTGTTAAATGAGATAGAAAACTAGCCTGTCCTTATTCAGATTATCACTCTAGCCTATTATTACTATTTGGACATCTCTTTAATTGAATGGTTTTACAAACATTCCTTTCTCATATGCAGTGCTTGATACAAAGTTCAGATTGGTCCACAGTAAATGTTGCCATCATGGGATCAGTGTGCACTATTGCAAAGCTTTGAGAGATTTTGGATTAGAGCAGCAATTTAGGCCCTTGGAAGGAATCTTCGTGGGGTGGTTGTTTGATGTCATTGCCTCCCTCCCAATGCAGCAATGCTTTCACTCACAGGTGCAGATGATTCTAGAACCTCATTAAAGAAAAGGACATTTATATTTTCTTGTTGCTACCTTAGGTCTTTTTTTCTTGGCCAGCATAACTGAGGACCACTAACACAGGCCCATAGATTAGGAGCCCATAGAGGGTCCTAGAAGGAAAAAAATAAATGACCAAGAAAAATAGACTTCATCATCTATAGTTTCACTTAAGAGACAGTAATATAATACTAAAGTAAACTTCGTAATTTTATTTGAAAATTTTAATCTGTTCATGTGAACTGTTAAGATATGCTGACATAAAAGAAACACCACAGCTGGATTTTGCAGGTCTGCACATACAGTCTAGCTTATCTAACCATATGAACTTTATTTCATTACTTGTTCTGTACCACTACTAATTTTTTTCATTTAAAATTTTATTTTTTAATTACAACTTATAATTAACATTATTTTGTATTAGTTTCAGGTATACAGCATAATGGTTAGACAATTACATACTTTACAAAGTGTTCCCCTTGATATTTTAAGTACCCACCTGGCAGCATACATAGTTATTATAATATTATTGACTATATTTCCCAGTCTGTACATTAGTACTGATTTTGAAGAGAAGATTGAAGGAGAGGGTAAGCAGTGTTTAAAATAATAGTGAAGTGTATATAATTTGACAACATGAATCAGGAGCCATAAAAATGTCCATACTCTAACATAAAAATTCAATTGGGGGTTAATTAACCTAAGAAATTAATTTAGAGTATGAAAAAAATCCATATACACAATATTCATTGCTATGGTATTGGTAGGGGTAAAATTTGGAAGCAATCTTCATGCCCCATAAGAATAAATTATTAAATTCCTGTTCAATAAACTATTGTGTGCCTTTTAAATTAATAGTTATGAAGATTATGTGGCAACATAGAAAATACTTAAAATATCATGCCTTAAGAGCTAAAGGTCACACCACCCAAATGAAAAAGATGGAAAGGAAATACATCAAATGATAACAGCTGTGTTTGGGTAACGGCATGATGGTAGCTTTTTTCTCGTTTTTGCTCATGATCGTTTTCATTAGTTTCCAATTTTATAAATTGGGAAACCAAGTAAAAGCACCCAAATGAAAAAGGTAATAGTATTTAAAGCCAGAAAGAATAAGATGAGGTTATTTTAAAGCTAGCTATCCTCTTAGCTTCAGGAAGGATTTCACATGGGACAAAATCCCAAACAGTTATTGCGGTTTGTGGGGCATATGCATTTACTCTGAGAGTTGTTGGGGTGCTTGGAGAGACAGTGGCACAATAGCCTGAGAAAGTAGACCCTCCCACCCCCAGCTGCCAGTTATTCAGCCTAGGGCTTCAAAAACCACTTTCTGCCCAAAGTGTGGCCGTTCCCGTCGACTGCCTCCCGCAGGCCATTGTGATGGTGATGGCTGGGAGGTGGCCTCGCCCCCTCACAGCTCCCAGGGGACCAGGCGGGTAACGGAGGAGCCGGAGCCGGCAGCCGGCGCGGCTTGGGGTCGTTGGTCATCGGAGACACAGCAGCCTGAGCGATGGTGACCTGAGGTGAACAGTCCCCTTTCTCATACCCGGTCCCTGGAGGCACCAGTCCCTCACTAGGGTACAGTTTCTAATCCAAACAACCATTAATCTTTCTCAGGGTAAAAGGCCAGAAAAGCAATTTTTACTCTGTCTCTATATTTTGATACTGTACTTGTCTGTACTTTACATGAGCAGACTTACTTCATTAACCACTGTCAATGGGGAAAACACCCCACAGCTGTGTCCACAGCTACGCAAACAATGCCCGCCCAGCCCCGCACGCCTCATGCGTGGAGAAGGGGCAGGAGCGCAAAACCAGCCAGCTCTTTATTGTGGCACTTACTTGAAACAAATTAGTATTTTTGTATCATGAAATAAATTGGGGGTGTGCATGAATTTTAAGTGAAAACGTCCCCATAGAGGATAATTTTGAGAAAGTAGCATTTCCCAGACTTTTGAATGCTGTTCTTTAATGTTCCTTGCTTTATTTAGCAAGTAAATTAATCCATATAAATGGAGCTGTAAGTCCTAAGGACTTTTTGATTTTTAAATGGAAATCAATAGAAAAAAATAAGATTTGATTTAGAAAAATGCACTCAATTGTCTCAGAAACATCAAAAGTGTGGTTTACAGGAATGGGCATAATCTCCTATTTCACTCTTTTAATAGCTGGCAAGTCAAGAAACATATCTTTTTTATATTCTTAAATTGTGAGGACCAGAAATGATGGATATTAAGATAAAAAACATGAAGGCTTTCTAAATCTGTTTCTCCATGCTTGACCTTTAAATCCTTCCTCTGGAGCCATATTCAGTATGAACAGCAAACACTGCTCCTGGTGAGTCACATTTAGACATCTGGCCACTGGTAGTGAAGGCATCGAACATTTAAGAGAGATAGAGGATGCATTTTTATAGCTCAAAGTATTTTATATTAAAGTTCCCATACTCAGAATCTTACATTAAGGACTAGGTAATACATAAAATCTAGTCATAGCGTTTGCAACCTACAAGAGGCCTGGGTTGAATAAAGTAAGACTTAGACAGACCAAGGGACTGGAGGAGAACCCAGGCTCTTGACTCTTTCTCTAATGTTGTTCTAAGGGTGCACATCATTTTGCAGAATATTTTTAAAAAGTTCTGAAGCTTCCCTGGATGTTCTGGGGGTGGGGGGCGGGCAACACATATATGTTTTTGCGTCGTCAAATATATTTTGAAATATTCAGTAACACTTATTAAGGTCTTCTGAAGGATCTGAGATTGACATAAAGTTTAACTGTTCTTTGCCTTGTTCATGAAGTTTCTGCCCTTAGGATCCATGATAAAAAAGCTGGAGGGAATTTTAACTAGATATGCAAGGTATAGCCGAAATTCTGTTTGTGCTGTCTTAGGCTTGCATTTTGGGCACTTGGTATAATGAATTTGTATGTACAGCAGGAATTATAATTATACCACTTCTAAGTAAAAACACATGCATATGTACCGCATCTTGATCCATTCATCCATCAGTGAACACTTAGGAGTTTCCATGTCTTGGCTACTGTAAATAATCTTACGATGAACTTAGGTGTGCACGTATATTTTTAAATTAAAAAACACTAACATTTTACATGATAATTTCCTCTTTGGAAAAATGTTTCTGGCGCTCAGAATAAATTCCTTCAAAAGGAAGTGGTCTTGTAGTTTACAGACTTCAGCCTTGCAAGTGGAATCTAAGGAGCATGATGGTCTGCCTCCTTGTTATTCCTGACCTGCAGAAACTTCTAAGGCTCAATTTCCCCACAAGGGCTTCCACACTGAGTTTTGTCTGCTCAAGCTTTGAAGTCTAGATATCAGTGTACTTGTGGAATTATTTATGTTTTAAGTTGAATTAAGTTTTAGTCAAATAAGTAATGTATATTTAATTACATCAGGAGTTTAAAAATGGATAAGTAGTGCATTGCTCTGCCATTGAACCTGCCTTACTTTATCTCTATCACGATCTTTATTTTCTTGAGGTTCTAAACATAACATTTAAATAATGTTTATTGGGGTTTTTCTCTAATTGCAAAAATAAAATATGTTAAGTACCAAAAACTGGTAATGCAAGGATAAACACAAAAGAAAATATTTGTTCATATTGTACCATCCAAAAGATAGCCACTGTTAAAAATTTGATATATGTCCTTTCAGTAATTTTGCATGCATATGTATGTATATGTTGTATAAACAATGATATACAAGTATAATGGAATACTACTAAGCCATAAGAAAAGATGAAATATTGCCATTTGAGACAACACAGATCGATCTTGAAGATATCATGCTTGGTATCAAGATATCTTACTTGAAGATTTCAAGTAAGTGAAACAGGTCAGGTGGAAAAGGACAAAAACCATGATTTCACTAATATGGGGAATACAAAACAAAAAAGAAACAAATGAAAAAACAAAACAAGAACAAACTCATAGATGCAGACTACAGGTTGGTGGTCACTAGAGGGGAAAGGGGGTGGGGAGAGGGCAAAATATGTGAAGGAGGTCAAATGTATGGTGACAGATGGAAACTAGACTTGGGGTGGCGAGCGTGCTATAGTGTGCACAGATATCTAGCTGTGCTGTTGTATACCTGAAGCTGATACAATGTTAACCAATGTTACCTCAATTAAAAGAAAAATTACTGTTTTTTTCTCAAAAGAACAATTTATTTGCCAGAGGATAGATCGCTAATATTATACCCCTTTGTATTTGTTTTTACCTTTTAAATATGTTACTAGTATTTTTATAAAAGAAGATAAATCTGACCTAAAACAGTAAAGTGATATTTTTATTTCTTTTCTTCCCCCCTTTAAAATGAGAAGACTTATGCTATTGCAACAGATCCAAACAATATAGATGTTCATAAAATAAAAAGTGAAAATATAAAATATAAAGTGAATATTACCTCTTAATTCTCTATCCCCTAAATTCCATTTCTGCAGTGATAATTTTTAATATTTTGACTGTATCCTTCTTTTCTATGTACATGTAGACATCTATTTATTTATAATTAAAAACATAAAAATCATACCATACTAATATATAATTGTTCTGTAACTTACTTTTCTCCAACTTGGCAGTATATCACAAACATATTTTCAATAGTTTTACCTCATTCTTATTAATAGCACAATGGCATTCCATTATTTAATATACTGTAATTTATTTATCAATATATTATTAATGAATATTTAGGTTCTTTCAAATTTTATTAGAAAAAGTGCTGCCAGAAACATCTTTGCTGTATTTCTTTACACACTCATGTGAGTACTTCTATAGTATGAATTTCTAGACATGGATTACTGGGCATAGGGTATGTACATTAACATTTTGGATAGATACTGAGTTTTTACCCATTTGATAGAGGAAGCAGGGGCCATCTGCAGGGTTTAGGGCAGGAACACAAACCAGGGTCCAACACTGTGGGCACTTGTCTAACCTGTATTATGTAAGTAGCTTGACTTTGAGCATCATGGAATCTTCTGCAGGATAAATTTATTATCACATTTAAACTGGTAACAGATAAGTTATGTGTGGAGATGAAGAGACAAAGCTCTGGCTAGACCAGCTTCTGATTTCAAAACCATGATAGCCAATGGTAATTCTTTTGGTGAAAATGAAAATTAATACAGTTTCATTGAAGCTTCAAATAAGGCAGATAGATCCTCTTCCGACTGAGGGCGTGGTGCAAGCTTGGTGACCCTTTCCTGAAACAGTAAATAAAAGAGCTACTCAGGGCTTTGGAAAGAGAGTTTATAAATGGTACTAGGTTATGCAAATAAACTTGGCCATAAGAAACAATGACTTAGTAATAGTTATATCTTTAAAAATCATATTTCTTGTTTGCTTCATACTAGCTGATTCCCATTTCAGAAGTTTATCAAAGTGATGCTTTTCACACAAAGCTTTCTTTTTTAAAATTTCATTTTTCAATTACAGTTTACATTCAATATTATTTTGTATTAGTTTCAAGTGTACAGCATAGTGGTTAGACAATCATATACTTTGCAATATGATCCCCCAATATTTCAAGTACTCACCTGACACCATACATAGTTATTACACTGTTATTTGACTATCTTCCTTATGCTGTACAGCTTTCAAAAGCTGTATGCTTTGCCTTCTTGTTTTTGCCTTATGCCCTGGCAATGGCCTTCTGCCCAAATGTACAGAATCAAACCAACCTTGGGAAAAACAGCTCCTATAATGACCAAAGAGTGCTGGTCAGCAATCTTGGCCAGTTTTCCATGTGCAGAGAGCCCTGTCCCAGGCACAGCATGTGCAGCCAAAGGACATAGAACCAGTCGCCCCTGACTTCAAAGACTGTATATTTTGCAACTTGGACTTCAGGTATAGTCAAAAGAATTTCATTAATATGTAACCTTCATGCTATGGACAACAAGTGACTCCTTTTAAAATATTAGCTAAGGTTTTATCTCTACCTTCCCAAGCAAACTCAGTGACTTGCTTAATTTTTCCAATGATTATTAAGTCAAGTCAGCAAAGCTTGTCAGCATATGTTTTTGCTATTTATACTCTTGTATAATTCCCTCTTCCAATGTCTCCTTGATGCCTCTTGGACAACAGATTAAAAGATACTGTAATGACTATGTCCAAAGTTCTGGGCCTAAATAAAATGAAGAAATGTAGCAGTTTGGGGAGTTCAATTCTCATGGGTCTCTCGGTCTGTTTTCTTGAGATTAGCACTTGTTTGGGGGCAGAGCTGGTGGAAGTGGGAAGCTCTGTGAGGGCAGGGCTGTGTACACTCTATGCCCAGTACCTCCCAGAGAGCTCAGCACACAGTAACTAGATCCTCAACACTTATTTGTTGAATTAATGAAGACTGTGGGAGGGGGGATATTGGCATGTCAAAATTCACACATTTTCATTATCTCAGAAATGACACCCAGTCACTAAGGCAAAAACCTACGAGTCATCCCTGATTCTTCTTTCCCTTTCCTACATGTTAAATCCATCAGCCAGTCTGTCAGATCAACCACCAAAATAAATTCCAGACCTAACCACTTCTGCATCCCATTCCACCACAATCCCAGTCTAAGTCCCTTTCATTCCTCTGTTCTGCTTGAAAGGCCTCTTAAAGGTGTTTTGACTTTTGCTCCACTCTTGCCCCCTAGAGGTAATGCAGCAGATAGCAGCAGAGTGATTTTTCTCCCCACTGTGTAAATCTGATCATACCATTCCCCTGCTAGTGCTCGCCAATGACTTCCCATCACATTAGAACAAAACCATAGCCTCTAAGGCCACCTCATCTCGCTCAGGTTCTCATTCCAGCTCTAACTCTTCTCTCATACATTCTTCTCACCTAGACCCATCATCCTCATTCAGTCCCACGACAGTGCTGATTTTCACACTGTCTCAAGGTCTTTGCCCTCTGCCTGGAGTGCTTGTACCAGATCTTCACTGGGCGGCTTCCACCTCCAGCCAGAGGCCTTCTTTCTCCACCTTTGTTGGAGTCCCCTCCACACTCTCCTGTGTAAAATCACTCAGGTTTTCCTCCATACCACTTCCTGTTATCTGAAAAGATTTTATTTGTATCTTATAGATTTGATTACTCATCCACTGTCTGTGTCTCCTCAGTGGAATGTAAGCTCCATGAGAGAGGGAAAGGATTTTATTTTCCTCTTCACTGTATCCCATACAATGAATTGTATGCAGTAAGACCCCACTAAATATTTGTCAAGTAAAAGGAAGAATGAAAAGAAGTAAGGATGAATACAAAAATTAACTCAAAAAGAACCTAAATTTAATAGCCAAACCTTAAAATTCTTAGAAGAAAATAGGGGAAAATTTTCATGATGTAGGATTTGGCCATGATTTCTTAAATGACACCAAAAGCACAGGCATCAAAAGAAGAAAACAGATAAACTGGACCACATCAAAATCAAAAACTTTTATGCATCAAAGGACACTATGAAGAGAATGAAAAGATAACCAATAGAATGGGAAAATATTTACAAGTCAACTAGCTGATAAGGGATTAATATCCAGAATATATAAATAATTGCTACAACTCAACAACAATAACAAAAATCTCCAGACAACCCAATTCAAAAATAGGCAAAGGACTTAAATAGACATTTCTCAAAGGGAGATATATAAATAGCCAATAAGTACATGATAAAAATCTTTAACATCAGTAGTCATTAGGGAAATACAAGTCAAAGCCACAATGAATTTCCACCCATACCCATTAGAATGGCTATCAAAAGAAAGAGAAAAGGTGCATTCTGGCCAAGATGGAGGCATAGGTAGATATGTTTTGCCTCCTTGCATAACCAAAAGAAGGAAGTAACCAACTTAAAAACAAAAAAGAGCCAGAACTGCCAGAAAATTGAACTGCATGGAAGTCTGACAAGCAAGGAATTAAAGAAGAAACATTCAGACTGGTAGGAGGGGTGGAGACAGGCAACTGGGGTGGAGAGGACAAGCAGTGAGGCAACAGTTGGTGGACCAGGCAGTCCCATATTCACATGTGGATAGACTGGGAGGAACAACTGGGGAGCAATACAGATGGCGCAACCCAGGATTCTAGCACTGGTAAAATAAAGCCTCAGAACCTCTGGCTGCAAAATCCTGTGAGAGTTGTGGCAGCAGGAGAAACTGCCAGTCTCTTGAAAGCAGTACAAGAGCCAAGCAAGCAGCATTGTCCCTCTCAAACCCCTCCCCCACATACAGTGCCAGAATGGGGTGAAGTGGATTGCCCCGCCCTGGCAAATACCTAAGGCTCCACCCCTTACAACATAACAGATGCACTGGGATAAAGAAATAGGGCCCAAATGAAAGAATAGATCAAAACTCCAGAAAAAGAACTAAGTGACAAGGAAATAGCCAACCTATTAGATACAGAATTCAAAACCCTGGTAATAAGGATGCTCACAGAAATGAGTACAGCAGCAAAATAAAGGAAGAAGTAAAGGCTATGCAAAGTGAAATAAAGAAAAATATATAGGGAACCAACAGTGAAGGGAAGGAAACTTGGACTCAAATCAACAATTTGGAACAAAAGGAAGAAATACACATTCAACTGGAACAGAATGAAGAAATGATACAAAAAAAAATGAGGAGAGGCTCAGGAACCTCTAGGACAACTTTAAATGTTCCAACATCCAAATCATAGGGGTGCCAGAAAGCAAAGGGGAAGAGTAAGAAATTGAAAACTTAATTTGAAAAAAAAAAGGGAAAACTTCCCCAATCTGGTGAAGGAAATAGACAAGCAAATCCAGGAATCTCAGAGGATCCCAAACAAGTTGAACCCAAATAGGGACACACCAAGACATATCATAAGTAAATTGCTAAAGATTAAAGAGGAGAGAATATTAAAAGCAGCAAGAGAAAAGGAGACAGTTACCTACAAACAAGTTCCCATAAGACCATCAGCTGACTTCTCAAAAGAAATCTTGCAGGCAAGAAGGGGCTGGAAAGAAGTATTTGATGTCATGAAAGGCAAGGACCTATGTCCAAGATTACTCTATCCAGCAAAGGTTGCTTGCATTTATTTATTTATTAATTATTTATTTATTTTTACCAGACCCATTTTAACCTGCACAAAGCTATCATTTAGAATGGAAGGGCAGATAAAGTACTTCCCAGATAAGGTAGAGTTAACAGAGTTCATCATCACCAAGCCCTTATTACATGAAACGTTAAAGGAACTTATCTAAGAAAAAGAAGATCAAAACTATGTATAGTAAAAAGACAACAAACTCACAACTATCAACAACTGAACCTAAAAAACAAAAACAAAAACATACTAAGCAAACAACTAGAACAGGAACAGAATCACAGCAATGGAGATCACATGGAGGGTTATCAGCAGGGAGGGAGGGGGGAGAATGGGGGAAGAGGTACAAAGAATAAGAAGCATAATTGGTAGGTACAAAATAGACAGTGGGAGGTTAAGAATAGTATAGGAAATGGAGAAGCCAAAGAACTTATATGTATGACCCATGGACATGAACTAAGTTGGGGGGAATGCTGGAGGGAATGGGGGTACCAGGTGGAGGGGGATAACAGGAAGAAAAAAGAATGGACAACTGTAAAACCATAATCAATAAAATATATTTAAAGAAAAAGGAAAAATAACAAGTGTTAGATGTGGAAAAACTGGAACCCTTATACATTGCTAGTAGGAAAGTAGAATGGTACAGCCACTGCAGAAAACAGTTTGGCAGTTCCTCAAAAAGGTAACATGGAATTACCATGTGATCCAACAATTCTGTTCCTAGGTAGGCCCAAATAAATTGCAATCAGGGACTAAAACAGATGCTTGTAAACCAGTGTTCTTAGCAGCACTATTCACAATAACCAAGAGGTGGAAGCAACCCAAGCATCACCTGAAGATAAATGGATAAGCAAAAGATGGTCTAGCCACAAAATGGAATATTAATCAGCCATAAAAAGGAGTGAAATTCTAAAACACTGAAAATGTTATGCTAAGTGAAATACGGCAAAAACATTAAGGCAAATATTGTCTAAGTCCACTTACATGAAGTGCCTAGAACAGACAAATTCATAAAGACAGAAAGTAAAATAGAGGTTACCAGGGGCTGGGGAAAGGGGAGAAAGAAGATAATGGTAATATTATTTACCATTAGAAAATAGAACAGAGCTTCTACTTTGGAGTGATTAAACAGTTTTGGAAATGGCCAGTGGTGATGTTTGCACAAGACTGTAAATACACCTAATGGCATTAAATTTATATTTAAAATGGTTAAAATAGTTGATTTTGTTAGGTATATTTTACCACAATTAAAAAAATAAATCTCACACTGGCTGGTGTGGTTCATTGGATTGACTGCTGGCCTGCAAACTGCAAGGTCGCAAGTTCAATTCCCAGCCAGGATCGATGCCTGGGTTACGGGCTGGGTCCCCAGTTGGGGGCATGCGAGAGGTAACTGATCCATGCTTCTTTTGCACATCATCGATGTTTCTCTCCCTCACTTGCTCCCCCCATCCCATCTCTCTAAAAAGAAATAAATACAATCTTAAGAAAAAAAAACTTAAAAAAAAGGAAGAATGGATGGACAGATAGAAGAAGGGTAGGGAACAATGCTGACAAGTATTGGTGAAATCAAGGTAAAATTGTACATCTCAGTTGATCTTTTAGAGACTATAATGAATTTTGAAAATCCATAGCAAGGCAGACACTTGTTCATGGTGATCTATGTATGCCTTTGTGGCAGGGTCAAGAACTGAAGTTCAGCATTTGCTATGGCCCAAGATTGCTGTCTCGTTATTCTGTTGATAATGGAGTCTTATTGGATGAGCAAGAGATCCTTAAAATGATATTGTTCATCTTTGGTGAAGTAGTTCAGGACTCTCAGAAGTACTCCAGGCCAAGATGAACTGAGTTTCTCTTTTAGATTTCTAACCTCCAATGACTGGTTAGGCGGGGGCAAGGACATAAAGTTTGTGATATATCCTCATGCATATCATTGATGCCAATAAAAGCTAAACTTTTAGAATTAAGATGTGTTCTGTAATGTGCTATTAATTATAAATGTGTAAGACTGAAGGACAACTGATTAACATGGGCTGAAATAAATCCAGACTACTACTTTTAGCACATTCATAAAATAACAACATTTCAGCTGGTCTGCCTGCCAGGGAGTGGAAGTACTCATTTTGGTAGACAGCTCTCCTCAGTAATGAAATGTTTTGATTTGAAATGTAAATGTTTCTTTCCAGAGGTTTCAGAAATCCAGCTTGGAAGATTAATTTATTCTTTCCCGCTCCCCTCGCAGCCTGGCTATGGCCGTTGGAAGCCTCTGCGCACAGGACTGCTGTTTGCCGTTGCCAATGTGAGCCGTGGTGTTTGGTCAAGAATACTGGCCTGGTTGTTCCTTCCAGAGAAAACCAATCCCTCATTTCTGAACATAAAAGAAGCTTTATCAAATGTTGACTACATGAAATAACCTTTTTTGCAGGAATAAGTATATCCCCTTCACTACCTTAAATTTTGCAGATACTAATAAGTGAAGATTAGTGTGCTGCATATGTAAAATTCTGAAGTTGCCATAGCATTCCTGTAAAATGTTTACTGTTGCCAAACAAAAAACCCATAGTAGCTCTTCATTTGCAAGGCACGCTTATTTCTAAGATTCCTCCTAAAGTTCTATGAATCCACCTTTCTCTTTCTCTATATCTATATTTCTCTCTCTCTCTCTCTATATATATCATGTGTATGACATTGACTCCAAATGTGACAGTTAATTCAAATTAACTATGTTTCTAACATAATCAAAATAAAAAAGGCAGCATACATGTTGAGGTTGCTTTATAAATACAGCCTGAGGGAATCCTACTTTTTGAACATGACTTGTACTCCAAAGACTGTACTTATCTTGCATCTTTTGTGAAACAAAAAAATTAGTTTTGTCTAATTAAGGCTTTGCTGTCTGTGTTTCCCAGTATGACACGTACACTGAGGCATTCAAAATGATACCTACTCAACTTGCTATTTGAGTGGATGGTCCCAAATGTTAATCTGGAACAGCTTCTGAAAGTGGCAGTCTGAGCACAGCAGAATTAAAACAGTAAACACTTGTCAATGTGTCCTGATGGCTGGAAGATGCATTGTCACCAGCAATTAAGTGGCCAAAAACATACAGTTTCATCTGAAAATCACGGATACCATTCATAGAGGTTGACAAACACATATTCCTGAACACTTTCCTGGGATATGTAAGCAGAACTTTTCAGGGGACCCCTTGCAGAAGCACACTATCATTTGGACCACACTGTAAGAACCAGAGCTACATCAAAATTGCGATGACCATTTGGTCTCTGGTGTCCCTGGACAGGTTTTTATGGCTCCTTGTCATTGGTTGAATCCTATTAAATCTAAGAAAACTTCTCAAAACGTTACCACCATTCAGCCATTAAGCTCACCTAGATAGAACGTTTAGGAGGAGAGGGCTGCAGCTTTGTGCTCATTTAACATATTTATTGGCCCAGTGCTACATGCGATAGAGGATGGATGACCAAAACAGACAGGTTCTGGCCTTCATGGAACTTACAGTCCAGTAGATTTGGATAGGAAAATTGTGATGATCATATTTTTTGGTCATTTAGCACCTTGGACTTGTGGGTTAGGACCAAGAGTTTGTGAGTCAGCCAAGGAGCTTTGCTACACTTTGACACTCCTCTTTTTCTCATTCATTTATATTGATAGATGCAATAGCATCCACTGATCCTCAGTCTAAATCAGGGAAACTGATGGCCCATGGGCCATGTATGGTTTCTACGTTGGGAAAGAAGGGAATTCAACACAAATATCCAGGTTGTAGACATTGCTTGAAAACTCAAAGTTCTACCAACACTGGAATCTGAGTTTCTACTTGAAGATAATACATTTTAGCTGGAAAGAGGCTTACCCAATGAAATAAGCCATGTACTTTCCAGTTCACCAAAGTCCCCAACACTCACTACTGCCTTAAATTATTTTGTTCATTGCTGTTACCTCCCTGGCTCCTGTGGACAGGAGTAAACCCACACAAATATTATCTTATATGAGCTAAGGTCTTCAACATTCTAAGCATTTCTTAAATGGGGAAGAAGCTAGTGTGAGCCCTTGCTTTCCTGGAGTAGGGTGAGCAGGATGCTGTGTGAGTGGCTATTCCAGCTGTTAACTCTGTTCCAATTTCAGGGATCTATGCATGCAATATCTTTGGGCAGAAATGCCTTATATTCATGTCCTCATAATAGTTCATTGCTCTTGCCTTCACATTTTTGACAGGAGAACCAAGCGAGCAATCAGCATGGTGAGCATGGTGGATTTCTCAAGCTGAGCACTCATGGCTCTGGCTCTCTATTTTAAGGTTTTGATTTATTAGGATCTGATCCTAAATGGAAGAGAGGTCCAATGGGGGACAAACTCTTGTGAGAGCCTCAGAAGGGGAAACTCTACATCTATTATTCCTCTACCAAATATAGGATGGTAGCTCACTTTAAATTCTTTAGCAACATTTAAATAAGTGAAATAAGACCCAAAGTGACACAGAGATATATATATATTTTATATATATGTTTAAAATATATAATCTCCCAAATATGTTAAAAAGTGATTTTTGTAGTAGTTTTAAAGACCATGTCTATTCTTCACAAAATTGTAGGGATCTGTAATTCTTTATAAGGGAAAACAGTATCAGTGGCTCTTTTGTAACAGCATCATATAGTTTTATAGGGGACTCTAAAAAGAGGAGAAATGGAGAAAAGGGAAATTTTGCCATACCTCAATATAAATATGGTTGTTTTTGCCTTGAATTTTTATAAAGGCTCCTTTCAGTTCCATCATAAAAGTTTCACACATGCCACAGTTTTATGGAAGAATATAAAGGTGAGGGAGCCTTGGCCCCATCCCCCTGGGGAAGGGGAGAGCCGCCCTTTGGTGTGGAGGAGACCTGAGGGTCACTGGGGGACCCCTGGGTTTTCATCTCCCTCATCAGGCACCAAGTGGACTGTGTCTTTCCTACGGCTTCGAGAAGGGAGTGAGGATGCACTGCGTCTCTTACCTGGGGCAGCGTTCCTTTCACTAATGCAGGGATATCGACCTTGGAGTAACCAATGGCAGCTAGGCCATCATCCACATCGAGATCGAATAAGAGTTTCCGGAGTGTGTCTGCTAAAACAGGCCCAGCATCTGCGGTCCTGGCAGTGCGGGTGTCAGCTCCTAGAAGACACAAAGCTCTGACTGTAGACAGAGAGGAGGAAGCTGGCCCTAGGTGTAATTCAGTCACATGATAGCAGATATATAACCTACTGCTGGCTCCCTGACACGGAGCACAAGGGCACCAATGTGTCCCCATCTGGAGGCTGGCCCAGTGGGCAGCCCCACAGAAGACAGATGGGCCAGGCCAGTGCAGAGAAGTTGCTGGGGTGGCTAACCTGGCTCTCACCTTTCCAATGGGCTGCTCACCCCTTGTGGGGTGGGACAACGGGGAACTGAGCCAAGAAAAGAGGCACAGGAAGGAGACCAAGAAAGAAGGCTGGTGTTTGGACGAGGAAGAAGGAGCATTTGTAGCAGAAAACACAGCTTATGTAACTTTCAAGGCTTGCAATTTGCTGACATCTAGAGGTTTTACATGTTCAATGTCTTTTCTCACAGCAACATTTAAGGTAAGACAAATCCCTTTGTAAAAACACTTTGTGAGACAAGGATTTATGTAATTAAAAAACTCCAACATTAACTGCCAGAAAAGGAAGAAGGCTATAACAAAAATGGATTATGTGTGACCAGCGAAGGAAGTATTTTCTCTCTATAACTATAAAAGTTTTTATTTTGGACTTTGTTACCAAGGGGCAAAGCAAGTTCCTCCAAATAAATATTACAGAACTAGTCAGACAGAACCAAGAACATGGAGACTCTCAGAAAACAGTTTGTAATATGTAGATGATAATGATATTGGTGAAAGGGGAGAAAGTTGCCAAGGATTGGAGATTTGAAACGGCAGAATTTTGGACATAATTAATAATACACAAAATTATAGAGAAATCAATCTGGAAGAGCCAGAGGTTCTGCCCTCAGGAACGGTGGCAGTGAAAGTTCCCAGATGAAGGGAACTGATCCCCAAACCTTAGCACCCCTGATCCCATCTATTCTAGTTGAACACATTCACTGCCTGGAAGTGAAACATTTTACAGATGGAATATAGCGTTAGTTACTACCCAGAATGTCTCATGCTGTCATCCAAATCCGCTTCCTCTGTATTGTTCAAAAGGAGACTAGAATGTACATTTCACCTCCATACTGAAGCACTTTATTAAATCAGTTTTAACCTCTCTGTCCTAGGACAGTGGGAACTGTTTTAGTGATCCAGGATAAGGATAAATAGAACAGACATGGAGCCGGTTGGTGGAGCAGCTGGATGGAACATAAACCTTGCCTGACAAGACCAGTCTATACTATATAGCGCAGCTAAAATATGGAGTAGGCGGACAGGCGACACATGATACGAGTGTTAGGAGATTTTTATTATCTTGGACTGCTGCCATAAAACACACCATCAAAATGTCTGGGGTTTCCTATGAAGTGTTTTTGAGAAAAAGAGAGGGTAAAGAAACAGACTACATTGGTATAAAACTAAGAAAAATCTAAGATTACTTAGGGAATCAAAATATTAATGGCTAAGTGTAGAATAATATTAAACAAAATTTCTAATGTGAGAAGAAAGATTTAGTACGTTCTTCTTGCCTGGGTTTTTTCTAACAGAGAAATCGCTTTCTCAGTAATTTTGTTGGTTGTCTGGAATGTTAGCTCTAAGTTCTCTAAGATTTTCCTATTTATCATCTATTTAGCCTACTATTTGGGCTCCTGCCTATTTATACTGTTTGCATATTAACAAAGGCATCTGAGTCCCATCAAATGGCTGAACAATATCCCTAGTCCCAGAGGGAAAAGGGACACGAGATCCTTGGTAAAGTTGGCACCACATTTCTGACACCCTGTGCTGGAAAACCGAGCCCCCAGCACCACTTCTCTGCGCTGGACTCCTTTTGTGAACATTCCCAGCCCAGCACTGGAACTCAGCAAAAGCACAGATGTCAGAGTGTCAGAGAGAAGCTGGAGGCAGGCGGGCCCACGGAAGGGTGTCTGTGGTCATTCCGACCTTCTTGGAAATCTCTCTCCAACGGCTGGTGCTAGGGGAGCATAATGAAGTTTTCTTTTTAGCCTTTCCCTTCCTACCCTGAATACAAGTAGAGGAGTAAGATGTTTGGAAAGTTAAAAAAATAGTCATTTACTTAAAAGAGTTCTATTTTTAGAAAAATACCAAAATTTTACTTAACTAAATTATTCTGAATGTATTTTATTTCTTGTAAGATTCAAAAGGCACTGATGGCATCTTATAAACATTACTTACTCTGCAGAGCAGCAAAATATTCTTCTTTGGTGATCTTTTAATAAGGTTTCCAGTCATTTAGACTCTCTACAGTTGGGAATTAAATTCATTTCATTACCTATTAAACATACTGACAGCCATTTATAACATTTGCAGTATGTACAGTTTCACTTTCCTTGGAGATGAAAATTGGAAAGATGATTATTCCAAATATAAGCAATATTTGGTTCCATTTCATTGTTGACAGGCTATCAGAAATGTAAAATTAAAGAATTTTAGTACTAGATGGGACCCAGGGCAGGTCAGTGACAAGTTATTGTTAAACTATCTCAAAGCAACATATTTTTTAGTATTGCTTTTTATGGTTTATCTTCAGAAGCAACCCCAGGAAATGCTGCATCTATGTGGGTCACAGAATTATGAATAATGGTTCATACCCAATATTTCTGCGGTCTCCAGGTGCCGCTCAGGAAACATCTGTGCCGTGAAAGTGAACACAGCTGGGGAGGTGAGCACCACAGACAGGCCATGAGGCTGTGGAGAAAGAAAACATGGTGACTGGTTGGTCAAGCTGGTTTTCAATCTGCATGTTAGATATTGAATTACTTTACCCTGTACTCCAAACAATCAAGAAATTGACAAATGCATTTAGAGCAATTACAGGGAATATAAGATTTAATGAAACAAGTTATTATGACTTTACCACCAGTGGGTGATCCACATTATAATCCTTTGCTTTATATGTCTTCACTAAGCCTGAAATTGGGTAAGACATTCCATGGCTAGAAAAAAAAGAAAGTCTTTATGTTGATATACAGATATCAGAAATTCAAGTTAATACAAAGATCTCTTACAGGAGAGCCCTTCACAGTCTCACAGTATATATTCTGTTTTCTTTGCTACAGGGATATATTGTCATGAGCTTGGTATTTGGTAATATTCCTAATAGGACCTCTGAAATGTTCAAATTCAAATGCTCATAAAATTGTATGCCATTAAAATGTGTTGATGCAGAAAATTCTCTCCAAATACATTGGTTAACCTCATAATATTGAGGAAATTGAGAGTTCACTGTGAAGTTTCTTTAATAAGTTTCAGGGCATGCATTTTCTATCTTGCTCTGCAATATTTTGGCAGTGTGTCCCTCCACAAGCTGACTGTGCTGGTGGGAGTTTTATGAGCCAAGATGTGCTGCATTAGACATGCAGGCTTAACCTGCCAGCGATCTGGGCCACCAATAATTGATACATCCTTTTGAAAGTTACATGCTAATGGAGTTGAATCATAAGTGATTATTCTAGTCTGAAAGGCTTTCAAGAAATGGCACCATGATTTTCATTCCTGGGAGTTTGGGGAGGGGGGAAGCTTGCTTTAATGGAAAACTTTTTATATCTTCTTGAATTCTTAATGAACAAATAGGATAATATTATAGTTTAATAGATGACTCAGGAAATACACATTGTGAAAAGTTAGTATAGTTACAATTAATGTATTAAAAATAAAATGTTTTATAATAGTAAAATGGTCTATAAGTCAATTCATATGGGTTATTGGATAACTTTGTGCTTATTCACCAAAAGATTTCCATTTCAGAGAAAATGAAATATTTTGGTGAACTGTATGATTATCCCCGCCACCAAAAGGTCCCCTTGCCTATCATCTTTCATGAGGCAATTTGGAAGCTATCGGTCCTCTGAGGTGTTGGGTATTTTGGAGTGTATTTTACCTTTCTCAGGCTCCAGAGTATTCAGAAAATTATTGCTTAGTGTGTTTTCATGATGTGAAAGGGTTCATGTAGCTTTCAAAGGTGCTTTCTAATGACAGCCAATATTTTAGTTTGATATATTTTAAGTTACATATGTTCTTTGTAAAAAATTAATATAATCCATAATCCCATTTCCTCAAAATAACTGTTGCAGAATTATTTCCTTCTAGTCTTCTTATGAATATCTTTAATATATGATCATACTGTGCATTCAGTTTTAAACAATGCTTTTATTACTTAACATTCTCTGTAAATATTTTCCCATACCATATTGTATTCTTCTAAAATATTATTTTTAACTTTTATTTTTATTTAGAGAAAGGGGAAGGGAGGGGGAAAGAGAGGGAGAGAAACATCATGTGAGAGAGAAACATCGATCAGTTACCTTCTGTATATGCCCTGACATGGGACTGAACCTGCAACCCAGGCATGCACCCTGACCAGGAATCAAACAGTGACCTTTCAGTTTACAGGACAATGCCCAACCGAATCACACCAGCTGTGGCCTAAAACATCATTTTTAATAGCTTATTTTATTCTTTGAGTATTGCTCTTTTATTAACCATTCCCAAACTGTATGAAATTTAGGTTGTTTCCAAATTTTTCAATTATAAATAACGCTTTAGTGATTATCCTTTTAAGAAAATTCTTTGGTCATATGATTATTATTATTTTTTAGGATACATTTCTAGAAGTAAAATTAGTGGGACAAAGGGTAAATACATTTTTCAAACTTTGGGAGATTTTGCTCACTTGTTTTTTGGTAAGAGTGATAATCTGTGCTCTTCTAAGCAGCAGAGTTTGGGGGTAACCACTTATTTTATTGTACTCTCCCTAGCAAAGTCCTATTCTTAATCCTCAGTGTTCTCTGGTATTCGATTTTAAGGCAATATACCAGTAAAGTTCTGATCAAGTAGGTTAATTCTGGGCTATGGGCAAAGATTCTGATCTTTCTTTTTGTGAGAGATTAGAAGAAAAAAAAATCCTGTATTTGAGGTTTTAAAAATCCATAACATGTGGTGAGGGTGTGGGGAAATCAGAGCCCTCATCCATTGCTGGTAAGAATATAAGATGATGCAGCTGCTGTGAAAAACAGTCTCAAAGTTCCTCAAAATTTAAATGTAGAATTACCAGCAATTCCATTCTTAAGTATATAATCAATAGAAATGAAAACACATGTCCATACAAAAATTTGTACATGAATGTTCTTAGCAGTGTTATTCATAATAGCCAAAAAGTGGAAACAGCTCAAATGTCCATCAACTGGTGAATAAATAAAAAGTGTTATATCCATACAGTAGAATGCTACTTGGCAATAAAAAGGAATGAAGTACTAATACATGCATGAATGCACCATGGAAACATTATGCTAAGTTAAAGAAGCCAGACACAAAAGACCATATATTATATGATCCTACTTGTACAAAATATCCAGAGCAGGCAAATCTATAGATAGAAAGTAAATTAATAGCTGCTTAAGATTGGGGCTGCAGGAGGATTGGTGGGTGACAGCTGAGGGGTACTGAACTTTTTTTTTTGAGTGATAACATGTTCTAAAATTGATTGTGGTAATGGTAACTCCATGAATATACTAAGAACCTTAAATTGTACATTTTTAATGGGTAAATTACATAGTGTATAAATTATATTTCAATAAAATTGTTTCAAAAACAATCCATATCCCAATAAACTACATTTGAATTAAGGAAATATTCCAGGATCCTAAGTTAAATATCTGCTTTCTATAACATGTTTAAATCTTATCACCTGCCCTAAGTTATAAACATTTTAAAACTTTAAAAGCCATAGCTTAGGTGAAGAAATAAAATCTTAAATTTGCTCACCACAGGTGAACACCAGCGTTTCCAAAGCCAATGCCAGCAAAAGCACTTGCCAAGTGCATGCTGGACCTTGCTTCAAGATCATCAGGATTTCTGACAGCCCTGTGGATGATATAAATATCTAACAATAACACATCAACATTGGCATTTCCTACTGAATAAAGAGCCGCCTTAGGGAAAGATCTGGAGAAAAAGAAACGCTATTTGGTAGGAAGAAAAATTAGGCAAGTTATTCAAATGACATCTTGTTTTCTAAAGGAAAACCGAGGGTAAACATTTTCTCATCAATGGTTTCAGCAAAGGCACAATAAATACACTGTCAGGTTGCTCGTGTGATAAAAGTGCCAGGGGAAGCAGAGCACTGACCCTTGGATTGTGAGAGGGGCTCTAGCAAAGTGCCCTGAGACTCATTCTTCTTCTTCATTTGTCAATAACTTTGACTGCAGCTGTGAATGGACTTAGAGTAAACATACACTCAGGATGCACAGGGCCCAGACGGGTTTACTGAAGGGAGTCCCTGTCGCCTGGGGCTGCCTGCAGGCTACATGCAGCCTGCCCAGCCATCTTTCTTTCTGTGACACTGCCCCATTTGGACCCACTGGAGGTCTCTTATGTTATCTGTAGAAACTGCACATGTTATTTTAATCTTTATTATTGTGGAAGTGGGATGTTATTATAGGACAAGCTTTTGCTTGCTCTATTTGTCCCCAGTGCCACTTCGGAAAAGCAAATTCTCAAAGGCCCCTTTCAGAAGCAGCTCAGCCTTCCTGCACGCACTGTGTGGAAGCCCTGCCCTGGGGAGGAAGCCTGAGACTGCCAAGCAAACCGCTTCTCACTCGCTTTCTTGTGATTTTGCCTAGAGTTAAGGGTTCCTGTTATGAAATGAGAGTGCCATGGCCTTTTCCCCCTTTCATTTGAAATGGTTGAGTGTTTGAGTCTCCTTTCCAAAACCCAGTGTTTGTTCTGTTTTCCCCAAATAAGAAGATGAAATAGTTGATGATGGAGCTTCAGCCTGTTCTCTGTCCATTTTACCCCCTCACCTCCCACTGCTACTCTGCCAAACCCTCTGCTCCTGCCAGAACACACTAGCTGACAGTTATCTGTACTGGCCTCTATCAAGTCAAAGTCTTCCATGCTCCCCAGTGGTCCCCGCAAGCCTGAAATAGCTCCATGTCCCTTCCCCCAGCTCTACCACAAATGCAGTCCAGTCCCCTCTTCAGGGCCATTTCCAGCTCAGGGCCAGAAGAGGCACCGTGCTCACATTGGGGCCTATCCTGCCATGTCCTTTCCCTCTTTTCCGTATAAGGACAGAAGTGAGTCCAACTTTGCAGATGTCTTCATGTCTCAGGGATCAGCTTTCATCTCTAAGGATATATTTGTTCACTGAGGGGCCCATTATGGCTATGTCATTCATAAATCTTTCATAACCTTTTAGGAAGCCTTTTATATCTCCTGGGACAGACAACTTAACGCAGTTTAATTCTTAAATGCAACTCATCTGAGTGTGCCTTTTCCCAGAGCCCAGATCGGCAGAGCCAACATCTGCCTCTGTGGTTCTCTTGCCTGTTCTTGGTAACCAAATCTCAAAGGACATCTTCCCTCATCCTAGCTTTGGTTTTGAGGTTTTAATGAAAAAAACTTGTATCTGCCTCCCTCATAAATTAGGGGCTCTTATTCTGCCCCCTTGTAGTCTTTGTCTTTTCAGAGGAAAGGACCCAATTTTCATGTCATCACATCCCCCCTCAAACCACACCCTCCCCCCGCCGTGCCCCCCCCCTCGCCCCCGCCCTTTCATTCTCCCAGAAGCTTGCTGATGCTTCTCTACATGCACTGACTGGCCTTTTGGTGAAGAGACTCAGTCAGGGCATGTCAAGATCTGCCACGCTACATTTTACATAAAGGTGGAATGTGGTTTTTCTGTCCATTTCTATCCCCCCTGGGTGGCATACCTTTTCAGATACTTAGCGACGACTCGCAGGGCATGGACGGCCCAGATGTCACTGATGGGATTGCTGCCCTGGTAGGCTGGCCGAGAGATGGGGTTTGAAGGGCAGGGGCTCCGCATGTGGTAGGGAAGGGCAGTGTAGGACTCCAGGGCGTGGCTAACAAGAAATTTAAAATACACAAGTTGAAAGTCTGGTCTTTTTCTTTCCCAACATTAGGATTACAGATGTAGTCACTCCACTGTGGATATGCTATGTGGCACTGTTAACCATAATACATTCCACTGATCAACTCTTGTCCACAACAGTCATCTCTTATTATGGAAATTAACACAGTGAAGCTTCTATTAACAGTACTACAGTGTTTTTGACCCCTTCTAGTACAAATAAATCTTTACCATTGTTGAATTTTTAAACATTTAAGTCATGAAAAAAAGCACTGAATCTAAAAAAACTTATTTCCTTCTAAAGTATGTTTACTATTTTATACTTTGCATTAATCAAATACCATACTACTCAAGTAGGGTCATAGTTACACTAGCCTCCTATTAAGAGTACAGTTCAGGGGGCGAGAACGCCGACCCTGGGTCAGCTGCCCAGGTGTAAATCCTAGCCCCAGGCATTCCCACTGTGGGCAGGGGTTGGGGATGTCACCACCTCCCTGTGATTCTAAGATGGGAATAAACAATAGGACATCTTCACGACACTACTGTGAAAATTGAGTTGACTTATAAAGTACTTGGCATATTGTACCAGCACATTGTAAAACTTATCATCCACTGTTATTATTAATTCTTGTCCTGAAAAAAAAAAATCTAATTCTTCTTCCTTAAATACCCTGAATTCAGGGTTGGCTATTTCAAGATCCACGCTTCAGAGTTTCCACCAGCTGCTGGCTGGCCACCAATTCTAGCTAATCCGCAGCTGAAGATAAGAATAAACATAAACCATCTAGATCAATAATGCATTGGGAACACAATATAATATGAATTATTTTTTGCATGAATATAGTTTTCAGTCTTAGAATGGAGAACTTCCTTTCTTCCACACTTGAGAAGCAGATAACACCTTTAGAACAAAGCATTAGAACTTTGAAAAAATTAGTTGGTAGACAGGTGCTATGGCTTTATGGTTCCAAACAGGGGCTCCTTAGGCAATGCAAGAATCAGGTGTCCATGAGAAGAGGACAGGGTGGCGAGGAACTCACTGAGATACTCTGCATGTTTCTTGATTCTGAACCCAAGAGCAGCTCTGTCTCACTGAGTTGAGCTCACAGAAACTGTGTGTAAAATCTGGAATTCCAATTAAATTTATAATGAGATGTGCTAACTGTTGAGGGGGACAGACACCTGAGTCTCCTAGAGGGCAACTCTTCTCCCTGTTGGCAAGTCCTATGGATGCTAATTCAAGATCAGAAGGACCATGAAGTCTTAACAAGGGTTATTGCCTCTAAGGTTAAATATATGGGTGTGTCCATCTTCAGAACTGGCCACTGGGACCCAGGGGCCGAGACCTCAGGCCAGGCGTTCTCCTCCTCAGAAAGTACTTGGGAGGGCAACCACCATCATTTTTTCTTCTTCGTTCCTCCCCACCTCCCCACCTTTGATTGACAGTGAAGTCTTTGGGTCTGTGAGACATTCACTCAAAGGTGAGTTCTTTGGTCCATTATATATTTAGTATGTAGTTTCCACTTACGTAGGATAATCTTATTCCTCTTATTTCCAAGTTGTCAGCGGACAACTCTTCAAAGTACTGACAACTTTGATCAGGATAAAATTGAAACAATTTTCTTCAGTTTGGAGAAAAGCAGACCACAGACTTGGATTGGAATCCTAACTCTGCTGCCTCCTGCTTGTGTGAACTTCATTCAACAGCTATAAATTGAGTACCTATGATGTGATAGTCAGTGTGCTAAGGGGCAGGGATAGATAAATGAGTAAGATGGTCTTATCCTCACCAAGGTCACAGTGCATTGAGGGAGCCAGGCATGTGTAAAGAGAGGTGTCTCAGAAGCAATGCACAGGCCCCCCAGCGGGGAGCAGCAAAGGATGGAATGATCAGCTGTACTTGAGGAGAGGGAAAGGGAGGGTCAGCAAAGGCTCCATCAAGGAGAGAATGCTCCAATGGAACTGAAAGATCAGTTATACGAGCAGATAAAAAGCAAAGCATTGTGGATATTCCAGGGCCAAAGGAATCTGACCTTTGGACAGTAAGCATGGAAAACCACTGAAAGGCTTATAAGGCAGAGGTGTGTGCGCGCGCATGTGTGTGTTGATGGTCATCTTGCATTTTGCAAGTTTGGTGAGGCCAGTATGGAGAACAGACAGAAGGACTATGGGAAGGAAGCAAGCAGACTGATGAGGAGACTACTGCAACTATCCAGGCAAGTGCTGGGGTAGGCCTAAACCAAGGCAGGAGCACTGAGGCCTGTGAGGAGAGAGCAGATCTGAGAGAGATTCAGCAGGACAAGGTAGAGGAACTGACGGTTAACGTGGGCACAACAGAAAGGAGATGTCCATACTGAGTCCGGTTGCTTACTAAGTTAAGGGACTCAGAGGAGAAGCTGTGAGGTATGTTGGTGGGGGTGGGGGGCGGGTAGGTAGAAATTAAGGAAAGTATCAGATTTCATCAAATTTAAGATGCCATGCATTATAAGATGTACCATTTAGAAAACTGTACCTCTGACAAAGAAAACCATATGCTATGCCACAGATTTCAAGATATGTTCTGATTTGAGATGTTGCAGTATGAAAAAATGTGCTCGTGCAAATGGAAATAGGGTAGTTTGGGACATGCTAGATGTGAAGTGCCCATGGGACCTCCATGAAGCCACCAGAATGAATGGCGTGGAGCTCAGCAGTGAGGTCTGTGGTAGAAGCCACTGATTAGGGAGCCATCCCACATGGCAGCTGAAGTCCAGGGAGCTCGCAGTATAACTCTGGGCAAGTTACTCAACACCTCAAAGCAAGTTCTCTGTTTCATCTGGCACAGAGCTGTGGCAAGGCGATAATGAGTATAAAGTGCTGACATGCTGTGCACAGTCCAGCTCTGGGAATGTCAACTCCCTGCCCTCTTCTGTGTTGTGGCAGCCCTGGGCATTCTCTGGTTAGTGTAGCCACAGAGGCATGCCAGCCTCAACTGCTTCTTTTGCCATGTCCCTGTGGCCACAGCTGCAGCTAGGGTGGTCCATCTTGAACAGCAGGTTTGTGGCTCACCCAGAGCCTCACCTCGTCACTATCCCACTCACTAACTGAGTCCTTATTTTCATCTAGGAAAGGGGATAATGACAGCCTAAGCTGGGGTTGCTGTGGAGCACTAATCAGTGAATGCTTAGTAAATACTTTCACTAAGAAAATACTATGCTCTGTCCAGCTGGCGCCAAGACATGGGTATCTCTCAGAATAATTGGCACAAGCGCGCAAGACTGAGGGCAAGAGAAAGCCCTACCACAAGAAGCAGAAATATAAGCTGGGACTCCCTGCTGCCAATACTGATTGGCTTGTGCCTCATACACAAAATCCGTGTGTGGGGAGGCAACAGGAAGTACCAGGCCTTGAGGCTGGACGTGGGCAACTTCTCCTGGAGCTCAGAGTGTTGTAAGCACAAAGCAAGAATTACTGATGTTGTCTACAATGTATTCAACAATGCGCTGGTCCATACCAATACCCTAGTAAAGAATCGTGCTCACTGACAGCACATGGTACTGACAGTGATATGAGACCCACTAGGCACTGCCCTGGGCCACGAGACAGGAGCCAAGCTGACTCTGAGGAGGAAGAGGTTTTAAGCAAAAAGCAATCAAAGAAATCCAGCAGAAATATGAGGAAAGGAAAAAGAATGCCAGAATGAGCCACTTTCTAGAGGTGCAGTTCCAGCAGGGCAAGCTTCTTGCAGGCATCATGCCAAGGCCAGGCCAGGGTGGCGGAGCAGATGGTCTTGTGCTTGAGGGCAAGGAGCTGGATTCTATCTGAGGTAAATCAAGGCCCAGAAAGGTAAATAAACTCTCCTCTCTCTTATCTCATGTAATAAAGCTGTTTATTGCACCCTCTCCCCCCTCCCCCAAAAAAAGGGAGAAAGAAAAAGAAAAGAAAATACTGTCCACAGGCCCAGGTACCGAAAACGTCCCTCCAGATACCTACCAAAGCACATCAAAGCCACTGTTGGCGACTACCCGGTCAGGCATATGCAGGGTGTGCAGAGGGTCAATAAGTCCCAGTGTGGGTTTGATGGCTCGGGAACCAATGCCTAGGACAGGGATTTTCAACAGAGGCTATAGGTATGAACTTCACTTAAAAACATTAAATAACTTTAGGATAACAAATTATCCTAAAAAAATAAAAAAAATACGAGATAGGAGTCATTCTCATGTAGGGAGGCAGCAAGGAGCATGGAAGGAGATCTGGAGTCAGAAACCTGGGTTTTTCAGTGGGGCAGAAGCTTTTTTCAGTTTGCAGGAGCCAAGTATGTGCATCTCTTCCCAAAGACAGGCTGAGTGACGCCATTGGCTATGGTGGGAGTAAATATACCACAGGAATTGGCAAATGCTACCAATCAGGACTTATTTACTTAGTAAATGTCAGAGAGCTGGTTTACTGGCTCACCACTGGTTTAGGTCTTTGCTCTGCAATTTACCATGTGTCTCTGGGCAAGTCATTTAGCCTTCCTGAGTTCTCTATGAGATTAGACTATACAATCGCAGGGCCTCCATCCCTCACAGAGCTGGTGTAAGGATCAAATTGTATAACGTTATGGAAAAGTCTTTTAAAAACTGTAAGGTAAAATTTAAGTGTTGGTAGCTATTATTCCTTGATGTCAAAGGGTAATGTAATTTAATTTTAAAAGAGAAGTTACTATATATGTGTGGTTGAATGTCAATTTATTCTGTTACAAAGGTCTGAAAGAAGGATATTGAGCCCGACTCAGGGAGAGGGACATTTCCACCCTCTTAGATGAGAGTCAGAGAAGAAGACAGGATATAAATGACAAAGAAGATGGAAAGCAGAACAGTGGTTACTGGGAATGGGACTGGAGGGATTGTTTTGGAGCAATGGTGATGTTTTGTATCTTGATTGGGTGGTAGTTATATGTGTGTCCATATCTGTCAAAATCTATCAAACCAGGCTCTTATAATGTATGAATTTTATTATATAAAATAATACCTTAATGAAATTGATTTGAAATGTAAAAAAGATGTCCAAGAAAGGGAATAACCCTTTATTATTGACATGCTGTCACTAACTTTGGCAGAAAAACGGCCAATCAAGATTCATAGCATTTCAATATTCTTTTGTAGGTAATTCTCAGAAAGAAGCTTGTTAGACTGTTTCATATTTTTATATGTACTTAGAAAAAGAAAAAATGTGCATATGTACATACCCTTCCCTTAACTCCATAACTCTTTGATTGTTAAATATTAGGATTAAATAAGAGGGGCTATATTTGAAAGGTAAAAGAGATAATTTTTAAAAAAAGTTAATGGGCAAAGTTCTTACCAATTTTTACTTTCAAGGGCTCATAGTCAAAAATGGCAACTCCAGTAGTTTCACTTCCAGTTCCTGAAGTAGTTGGGACTTGAACAAAATAATATTAATATTAATAAAGCATCTAAATGAAGTGGAGATACTTAATTCAGCCTTACGAAAAAAGGGGCAAAGTTAGAGAAGGAAGCTTTGCTGCCCCTGTTTCTTGTCTGATATGTATATCTCTATTAACATGTGTATGCTTCACATGTACGTGTGTTTGTATTAACACATACATATGACAGCACAAGGCCTGTGCCAGCATTAACATGCATTTTAACATGCATGATATCCACAATCATAGTGACATGCATGTGTAACAAGCACATGCATTTTGACATGTATGTGGTATGTAGACATGTGCTAGCGCATATAAATGCCCATGTCTGTATCAACACATATGTAGGTTTAACATGTATGTGTGCTGTCTTTTTCTGTATTAACAGTGAGGTGCTCTGGGAACCTTGTGCTCCTATAGGGACAGAACTGAAGCAGCTGCAGTTGGATATTCAAACACAGGCTGCTGGGCAACTCCAGGAAGAAACCTTGTATTTGCCTCTCTAAAAGATGTCTTTATTCTCTCTTGGCAGCAAGCACAGTAACGCTCTGCCTTTGCTGGGCTCCTGGTTCTGTAGTTCTGTCAAGCTTCTAAACTTTACTAATCACCCCTCTGTGTGATGCCACACAGTTTCACCAGAGGGTTCCATTTGCCAGACATCAATTATGCTGCTCCCTGCTGATTGCTCATTCACATCAAAGCGGTTCATCTGCCACCAACTCACTCCTATCCCATCACAGGCCTGTTAACAATGGGGGCAGAAGAGAGAAGACAAGACTTAAAACTGGTATTTTCCGGTGACCAATTAGTGCATTTTAGCTATCAAACTTTAAATGGTAATATGCTAACAGTTATAAAATGAGAGGGAAGACAAGACAGAAAGCTGCTACGGTCTGTGTGAAACAGACAAGCTATTCTGACTTGCATTTGCATGTCTGTGCCCCTTGTGGCCACAGAGCAGATGTCTCCCGGAGCGATGGGGCCATGCTGGCCACATGTTCCAGGGCAGAGACAAAGCCTCAGGTCAGCTGAAGGGTGATTATGTGGAAGAAAGGGTGGAGTCAACACCAGAAGAATAATAGTACATGTTCCACTTAAACTCCACAGTGGCTGGTAGAATGGGACAAAACAGAGCGGGGCTTAGAAGACAAACCTACCTGTAGAGGGATCTAATGATACATAAATAATGACCTTCCCTCCTTCTTCACAGAGTGACTTCGTAGCTTAAATATGCACACTTTCCTACCACTGGCCCAAATTGTCTCTTTCTGTGCAATAATGAAGATCAGTATTTTAAACATAAATGCATTGCTATCTGTTCTGATCTCTAAAGAAAGTACTACACTGAAATGAAGAAATCAGAAAGCTTTAGAAACACATACCTTAAATTCCTGGCTTGCATCTTTCCTAAGGCCTTTTGTCAATTACAAAACAAAACAAACGAACAAACAAGCAAACAGTCTTTACCTGCAATCAGAGGCTTAAGAGGCACAGACACAGGTTTTCCCTTCCCAATGGGGGCACTGACGAAATCTAGGATATCAGAGTGAGGGTTGGATGCATACAGATTAGCGGCTTTACAGGTGTCCATGGTGGAGCCACCACCCACAGCAACATAGGCATCAAAAGCTCCCTTTTTGGCAAACTCAATAGCTTCCATGAAGCTGCAAGAAAGTAAAAGAAAAGCCATTATGTTATATTTTTCAGAAACAAACTGGCATGTCAGTTAAGTAATTCTTGGGGCAAGTTTCAAGCAACAGTGATATGTACGGGCTTCCACTTAAAGTAAATTAACAATAAAAAAATACCTTCTATCAGTTGGTTCCACCCTCACATTATCATAAACCTTAAAGTTTATACCATTCTTCACTAGGGAGTCCATAACTATTTGTGCAGGAGGGAGTTGGGAGAGATTCTTGTCTGTCATCATACAAACATTTTTAGCACCCATGTTTTGTAGGTCCTACAATAACAAAAATAATTTATAAGTTAGGTTTGATTGCACTAGAAATGTAATAGACATTCCTGGCCAACTTAACATTAAACATTTTTTTAAAACAAAGGACTCAATTATTATCCATTTGTACTTGTTTTAAAAGATATGTAACCTCTACAGTAGACTCTAGAAACCTTAAATACTTGCCATTCCCACTTCCTTTGTAACTCCTGCTCCATATCTAATATTTGAAACAGCCATCTAAAAAAGAAAAAAAAAAAGGGATTTTGGTGATGGTGTGAGAGATTGACCACTTCATTTCTAAAAGCCTGAAGTGTTTCCTCATTGCCTAGAGAATAAAGTATATATTCTGTAGCATGGCCTTCCAGTGCACCCCATCTGGCCTCAGACTCACCATCCTTCTTTAAGCAAATCTTGGCTCTAGCCACATTGAAAGTACTTATCTTTTTCCAGACACATCATAAACTCTCAATTGTTCCCTCAGCTTGAAATGCATGCCTTTCCTTGTTTCCACAAATAAGTTACCCCTCAAACTTCTTATTTTTCAATTTAAATGTTGTTGATTCCTCATGTATTTTCACTTCTTCATTCATTCTTCCAACCATTCATCATCCAATCATTCATCTATCCAACTACCCTTGCATGCATATATCCATCCATCCATCCAATTGTCTACCTGTTTTTCCACCCACCCAGTGCTACTGAGTGCCTGCTACATTCCAGGTACTGTGCTAGGCTCTGGTTGTACAACTATGAACAAGAGAAACAGTCTCATAAAGTTTACAACTGAGAGAAGAGCTTTTAAACTGATGGATAAATAGCCATTATTGGCCTAAAGATGTGTTTTGCTTGATCCACATTATGTTTATATTTCTTCTTTTTTGAATTGGCTCATAATTCTTAAAAATCAGGATAAAAATATCCAATGTGACTGTCTAATCTCTCTTGAATAACAGGGCAGCATAGGCTGCACTCTGTGTGGCAGCAATCACGTGGGGCTGAGTGGAGGACACAGTCTTCAGGTCGGCCTGTGCGCTCAGTGAATTCAGCATTGTCCTCACCCACCCAGTTCATAGACTGGGTAACTGTCAGCCTCTGGTGACATTTAATTTATGAGTCCTAAACTAGGAGCAGACGTGGATTTAAACAAATAATTATGTAAGTACAGTGGGACAAAAATTCATCAGAATTGATTATTCCTTTATTTTTGTGTCAAAAGATTACTTGAACCTCTTTGGGGATTGTTATACTTACAAAACTAAAGAAGATTTAAATACAACAAATGTAAATTGAAGTTTGTAGCTGGAAATTTGTCCTATTTTAATGGCTGTACAGAAGATGGTATTCTAGACATTACTCATGTTATCATAAGATTTATATTTCATTATCCTAACAAGGTACTTTGCTAAATAGGGCCTTGATCAAATATTGAGATTAGGGGACATCAATTAATAACAGACTTCAAATGATATAATAATGCATTAGCAAAATACTCTAGTTGTAATTTTGAGATCATTCATAAAAGAAGGAATGACTGATTAAATTTACCTCAAAGGCATAATCTGTTGTTTTTCCTGAAGGTGAAAGCCCAGGAGCTAGAAATGTAAAACTTAGTATCAGAGTAGGCCTCAAAAACAAAACAAAATATTGTTATTTGATAGTAAATTAGTACTCTAGTAGTGAACATAATAAGCATCTCTCTTGAAGCCTTACCTAAAATATATTTTTCAGGTTTCATTGTTGCATATCAAATTAAAATTAAAACCTGTATTTTAAGAAAATGTAATGCTAACTTGATGCTGATTGTATGAAAATAAATTTACTTAAAATATTTTCTCTGTTGAAGTTAAAATACACTTTTGAAAACATAATGTGTAAAAATCTTCTAGAAAAAAAAATCTTCAAGGCTCTAGAGTTGGATTATTGTTAAAGAACAACTATTAGTAAATTTGTTACTGAGAATCTTGATTATACTTCCTATAGCAACTGTCATCATTTGTTTCAATTAATATTTTTCCATGGAGGTTAATTATCACAGTAAGATATTTCTATTTATCAAGGTTATAAATATAAAAGTTTTAGTTTTCTTTGTGAAATTTAATAAAAATTTTTATAAATTGATATTTCTTTGCAACAGTTGTAGGTACAGCAAAAATGATTTTCTTTCATATTGGAACAACAAGAGGGCCCGACTAAATGAATTTTATCTTTGTTTTTATCTTATTTTTAAATCAGTCCTGGTTAGTCTAATCTGTTGCTGTTGTGACTAAAGTTTTAGAAATGACATAAATTGGATCTTATTAAACAGTGAAATTAACTTTCCCTAAATTACTAATTTCATTTGCCCAAATAGGAAATTCCCAATTCTCTGTTGAAACCCAGTAAGAATTGGAGAAAATCAGCTGAAGACAAAATTCTGCACATGTTCATGAGGGCCTGAAGGCTGGGGATGCTTCTGCTTGGCAGATGGCTGTGAATGAGTGGGAGGCCCCTTGGCTTGCCCTGAAGTGCGAGTCCCTGCCCTGGCAGGCAAAGCACTCAGTTTTTCTATCTCTGTTCCATTCCCAATGGGCTTTTCTGGGGGTTTCTGCTTCGGATCCTGTTTGGCCAGCCCCCTTACCCACTTTTCATCCCTCTCCTTGCCTTGCTGTTTATATTTGACCTTTCCTTCCAAGAGGTGAAATCAGTGAAGCTGCAATGAGCTTCCTGCTGGTCTGTGGACAATGGAGTCGGAAAGGATTAAGACATTTGTAGGAACTAAAAATTTTTGTCATTATTTTTAATTATTAAGAAATAGAATGCTATTTTACTTATTTTAATTTCATTTTTAATAGAATGTTTTTTAAAAATTAATACACAAAATTTTTCATTTTTGGAACCACCTTGCTCTTTAGCTTCTTTCTCTTTTGAGATGTATTAGAACCTTCAAAAGATTTCATCTTTATTAATTATTTGATGACTCAGACAATCTTAAGAGGCTCTCCACGGCATCATTTTTAGCTTTGGTAAACAATTCTATTTAAAATAGAAAAACATTATAAATAGCATTAAATATATATTTGAGCCAAACACATAATCAGCAGCATACATTCAGCTAACATTGTGCAATTAGAACTACATATTACCAATTTCAAGTGAAAAGGCAACCATTTTCATCAATCTCCCTTTCATATCCCTTGGTTTTCTTGCTTTTACCCTTTTTCCAAATGTATTGGAGTGTCAACTGTGAAAACGGAAATTGTGGCCAGTTTAAAAACACAATATGTATCATTACCTTGGGAATAAGTATGAGAATGAGTTGGGCACTGGCATCTAGGGAAAAGGAGAGAAAAAAAAGGAAAAACTGTAAAGTGAAACTAGAAAATCAAAAGATAAGAAGACAAGTAACTCTCTTCTGCAGTCTGAGTCTTAAGATGTTAGCAAAATAGTAGTTATTGGTAAACACTGAATATAGAAAACCCCCCAGAAATCACCATGGACAAAAAAGTGGCCTGAGTCTTTCCAGTGTTGTAAGCTCATTCTTTCATTAATATTTTAGCACTACTTAATAAATGCCTGCAGGGAGCTGAAATGAGCACTCTGGGGACACATGTAAGTTTGAGACAGAGTCCCTGCCCTGGGTGAGGTCCCAGCTCTTAGAAGCTTTTCTTAGAGTTAGAAGCTTTGACCAAACTAACCCAAGGTTAACTATTCGCACACCTTATTTCTCCCACCTGTGTTTTCCCATTGTCCTCAAGGTGTTTAATTTTCCTTCAAACACGTTCTGGGCCTCTTCCACTGGCCTCCCTGAGACCACCTCCCACTTCCATCCTTTCTCCCTCAAATTTCAGGGACCAGCAACCGTTTCCAAGACTCCCCGTGCTTGTCGACTTCCTGTCTAAAAAGAGCTCACACCTGTCCTTCTACCCTTGCCTTCCGCGTTACCTTCCCTGTCCCGGTAGCATCCTTGTTCTTGGACAGTCTCTTCCCTGGCTTCCTTTTGTCCTGCGCTCCATGTTTGAGCGCTGAGAAAGGGTTTTGTTTGTATTTATTGCCCAGCGGACCTTGTCACAGTGGGGTTCCTATAGATGCATGAATGTATAACCCCCCCGCCCCCATTCAAATTTGTAATGAAAACATCTGAAGGGGAAGGAGAAAGAAGGAAAAGCGTTGAATTCAAGGATAGTCAAGATCTCAAAAACAGCACTACGAAATTAAAACCAAAGGGAAGCCAGCGTGAGCTCTACGGTGAGTCAAGGCTGCCATCTCGTGGGGACCATTGAGCACGCCAGGTGCTACGGGTTTCCCAGGAGCGTCCCAGCTGGTCTGATCCAGCTGCAGGCTCCCACACAAGAAATGAAAGTAGGCAAGGCCAAGGTGTTCCCTCCTTCATAGGTGGGCTTATTGCCCTCCAAGGACAAGAAAAGAGAGGCAAAGGGAAGAAAAAAAAAAATCAAACTCAAAGCCTTCCAATGCCACCCACCCACTCCTCTTTTTATTTTATATTTTTCAGGCTCTGAGGCTACCTCCATTATTTCTACTCCTTATTTGTGCTCTGAATCCCATCCCCTCTTGCCTTATCCATCTGTCCTGTATTTACTAGTCCTCCCCCTTACCTGATCCCTGTGATACCATGTTTAAGAGTTTCATGCTTAGAACTCTCAACCTCTTGTCCTTTCCAGCTTGCTCATTCTCTGGTTCTGCACTCTTGACCTACATCTCCCGGCTCCATTTCCTTGCCTCCCATACATTCGCTGGCCCCCTGAAATCGGCTGCTGTCTTCACAAGTCCCAGCTTTCCTGTGGTGTCCTCACTTGTCAGACCTCCTCCTAGCACCTTGCTCTCATAACATTGGACACTGTGGGCCACCCCTCCCTGGGTGGTTGAAATGCTCTTGGCTTCCAGGACTCCCCGTTCTCCTCTCCCTGTGGCCTCTTTTCTCTGCCCATTGCTTAAATGTTGGCTTCTGTCCCGGGCTCACCCCTCAGCCTTTATAACCAACCATGCATCAAGGCCCCCAATATTTCTCCACCCAATCCATCCCCTGCTTTGGGGCCCTCTGCCACTCTCTGGTTCCGGTGTCATCTCTCATTTGGCTTACTGTGAAGTTCCCAACGTGCTTCTCTTTGCTCCACCTGTGCCACACTGTGGCCAGGGGTATATTTCCAATGATGTCCCTTCCTTGTTTAAAAATATTTTGGTTTGTCATGGCTCTTAGGATAAAGTTCAGATGTGGCCCTCCCAACCTCTCCAGCATGGCTCCTCAGTACCCTCCATCTTTTGGGCTGAGCTCTTGAAAAATTAACTTGGTTCTTTTCTTTTAATCGACCATACACACTCTTGCCTCTAGAACTTTGCCCTTGTTATTTCCTTTGCCTGGAACTTACTTCCCTCCAACCCCCCTCTTTTGGATAACCAGTGTTCTTTTCTCTTGCCAATTCTGCTGTCAGTTCCACTGGACAGTCTTCCCTAAGGCCTGAAGGCCACCATAGACATCCTCTCTGTGATCCCTGCACCTCCCTTCCCATTAAAACTGTTATCACACTGTATTGTTGGTGCCCTTTTCCTGTTCCCATCTGCCTGGAGACTGTAAATTTTGTGATAACAAGGCAAGAGCTAACCTTTTTCACTTTATCTGCAGTGGTTAGCACAGTGCCAGGCACAAAGTAAGCCCTTAATACTGATTGAATGAGTGATGAATTAAGACATTTTAAATCCCCTGACCGTCTCTCTTTTCCTGGTGTGCAAAGACACAGAACCTGACGGGGGAAGGGAGAATAGACTGTGGGCTCCCCCACCTTCTTAGGATGGCCGGAAGCAACTGATGAGCTTCTTGGCTCCTTCGAGAGGTAGAGGAAACCCCAGTTTGAGCAAGCCCCTCACCCACCCACCTCCTGGCTCTGGCCCACCCATTCTGGCTTCCTTCCTTGCATCACTGGTAAACTGGCCATGCTTTTAGCAAAGGCCTGCCCCTTGCCTGTGCACTACATCCCAGCTCCACTCAAGCGCATGACTAGTTGTTCTTCCTTCTCTTTCCTTATCATCAAAATTTCCCTCCGAATAGATTTTTCCCCATATTATATTAGAAAGCAAACAGCTTTCAGCAGCTGTGAAACTGAGGAGATACCAACTGGGCTGAGGACCTCAAGTCTTATTGTCCTCCTCCCCCAAAGGCCCTCAATAAAATGGTTTTATCTCCCCCCAACCAAAAGCAAACAATAACCTTCTCTTGCTCCTCTTCCCTTTCTTGATGCAGCCCCCACCTCCCTCCTTCCCTTTTGCTGATTTTATCTGCTCTCTCCCATTTTTCTCCTCTGCTCTGGAACCTCCTCCAATTAGCTCTTGTCCCATTTTTCCACTGACAAGGTCACTAAAACCCTCACCTTGCTAAAATACGACTCACTTCTCAGTTCAGTCTTCACCTTAACTGAGCTGTCAACAGCATCCTCCTGTTCATTCCCTCCTTCCTAGAAACTTTCTTCCCTTGGCTTCCAGGACACCACTCTCTGGCTTTCTTCCTCCCACCCCGGCTGCTTGCTCCTTGTCTAATTTCTTTTCATGCTCTTGAGTCTGAATACTAGAGGGTCCTAGGGTGCAGACAATGGACCTTTCTCTTTTCTTTCCACACTCACTCCCTGAGTGACCTTATCTGGTCTCATTACCTTGAATACCTTCTATGTTGATGACTTCTGCATTCATCTTCTAGTTTAAACCTCTTGCTTTAATTCCGGATCCAACTGCACTTGAATGTCTATTAGGCATCTCAGTTTCCCTGCCTTAGACTCAGCTCCTGGTCTTTCCTCAAAGCCTCCTCCTATCCCCAGTTGAACCGGCAACTTCATCTTTCCAGTTATTCAGGTAAAAAATATTGGGGTCATCCTTGGCCACCCACCTGGCCCCCAATGTCTATGACCTCATCTCCCCCTCACGCACCCTGCTCCAGTCACCATGTTCTGAAGCCACACCAGGTATGCTCCACCTCTAGGCACCTTCCCAGAGAGCCACAGGGTTCACTCCCTCCCTCCACTGGGCTTTCGGCAAGTTAATTCTCAGTGAGTGTGGTCAGCTGTGCCCCTGAAGATATCTGGGGTCTTTATCCCTGGAACCTGTGAATGTTACTTGAAAAAGCACATCAGCTGGTGTGATTAAATTAATGATTTTGAGATGGAGAGATTATCCTGGATTATCTGGCTGGGCCCTAAATGTAATCACAAGCGTCCTCCTAAGGGAGCCCGAGGGAGACTTGACACAGCAGGCACTGTGACTGCCGAGGCGAGATTCTACAGTGCTGGCTGTGAAGATGGCGATGGGGCCACAAGCAGAGGCGTTTAAGAAGTGCAACTCCAGGAGCTAGAAAGAGCAAGACAATGGATTCTTCCCTAGAGCCTCTGAAGGGAGAGTGGCCTTCATTTTGGCCCAGTAAAATTGACTTTAGACTTCCTGAACTTCAGAACTGTAAGAGAACAAATGTGTGTTGTTTTAAGCCACCACATTCACGGTAATTTGTTACAACAGTAATAAGAAATAGTGAGGTCTTCTCTGACCGTCTTTTCTAAAATTGCATCCCTTCTCCAACATCCAATCCCCCTTTACTTTATCTTGCTCATCAACATCTAATTTACTCTAAACTTACTAGTTTATTGTTTGCGCCACCTGCTCCATACATATACTTAAGCTCCAGGGATGTTAGGCTGTTTTGTTCCCCACCGTACCCCAGGGATGAGAACACTGTAAATCTGCAGTTAATGTGATGGCTTTCCCTCATGTCTTTGGCCAGGACTCATATCCTTTAATGCTGGTTCCTTTTCCTCCATTTCAGAGTGCAAATTATTTGCAAATCCAGATGCCTGAGGAGGCCAGCAGGTACTGTAAATGAGAGGGCAGAGCAGCTCAGAGCAGCTGCTGTGCGGAGTGCGGGGCTGTGCCGGGTCTCTCAGGCAGCTGGAGTGCTCCCCTGTCCGCCGGAGGTGGCCACCGCCTCACCTCAGCGCCCCCACCCCCGACGCTTCTCCTGGATGTGGGCCCCATCATGCCATTTTCCAACTTTTCCAATTTTTATTTGAAATCGCCCACTTTTAAATGCTTACCTTATTTAAAAAACAAAACAAAAAACATGTGTAGGACAAACAAAGCACCATGTTGCCACTTGGACTGTAACAGTGCTGTTCTCCAAGGCTTCATTCTCAGCCCTTTCCTCCTATGTTTACAGTTTGCCAAGACCTTTGCTTCCACACTCAAGGTGAGTTCTCAATTTGCTCCTGAACCCCAGAACAATATAATCAATTCCCAGCTGGGGGTCTGCATCTGGACGTACCTGAGGCATATCCAACTCAAAATGTCCAAGACTTAAAGCGAACCCTTTTATAGTCCCGATTTTGGTAAATGTCCCAACTGTTTACTTGATGCCCCAGCCAGAAACCTCAATTTCTCCTTGTCTCACTAAAAATATGCAAAATCTTGCTGATTCTAACCAACTCCTTGATATTTCTCATATCTGCCTCTTGTACCAGCTGCCTTTCCTTGGTGTCTAAAGCCATCACCTTTGAGCTGGAGCACTACAATGACCTCTAGTGTTTTCTCCTCTGTACATTGCCACCAGAAAGCTCTAATATAATTCTAATTATGCCACACTCCTTTCTCATGCAACCATTCTAAAAACACGACCTACATGAAATTTCCAGGGGATAGGAATGGTGTTGTTTGGTGAAAAGGTCTATGATGATACAGGTTTAGGATGAAGAATTTAAATACAACTGTACACAGTTTCCCAAACCTATCTGGCCATGGAATTCTTTCTTCATGGGGCATTTCATGATATTAGTATTTCACAGTAAGAATTACTGCTTCCATAATTTTCCATTATCCACAGGACATAATTCTTAGATGAAAACAAGAACTGCAAAACCATAATATATGCGTTTATATTATGGCTGTGCCCTTCGCTTATCTGTGTGACACCGGAAAAATTCTTCCCTTCCAAGCCTTTATTTCTTTACCTGTACTATGAGGATATAATATAATATTGCACAGGGTTGTTGTAAGGATCACAGTTGCAATTAATAGTATGTGTAAGGTGTGTAGGACAGTGCCTGGCACACGGTAAGTGCCCAGTAAATTCTATTTTCTACCCATGATTTTTCACCATCAGTCTTCTCCTATGAGGGGGCTGGAGGGTGCAGATTGTCTACATCTCTTGTCTCTGGTGCTTCTCTTCCCTTGGCCTGAAATTTTTCTCTAGTGCCCATTAATCCTTTTTTTTTTTTTTTTTTTTTTTTTTAATCTCCACCTGTTTAAATTTTTCCATGTATACCCTGGCCCATTATTGCACCTCCACATTCAGCAAATATTTTATCAGGTAGCTACTTATGCATCTTGCATTTTTTTCCTTAACGGAGGAGGAGTCACACATGTAATAACATTTTAACACTGCTGCTGTAATAGCACTGCACACACAAGGGAGTGAAGCTTCTGGTGATTTCTCTGCTCCATCCTTCTTTTCTACACCCTCTGTCCGTTGCATTAGGCCCAGATCCGTTTTACAAGCCCTGACCCCTCAAGCCAATATCCTACTAGACTTCACACTGCTCCAGAATCTTTCATCTTTGTATCTCCAGCTCCTAGAACAGTTTTTTGGCATATAACATGCACCCAGTATAATGTATTGACTGGACACGTGAATTTGTCTTGGTCATTATGCCAAGCCATGCGCTGTCTACCGCAATGTGGGACCAGGTACTGTCCTCTCTGAGCCTGTTTCCTTAACTGTACATAGGACAGCGTAAAACCTGCCTCACCACGCAGTTCGTGGTTGCATGACACACTGACAACGCTGTCTCGCCAGACGCAAAGCAGCCGCGCACTGCGGTAGCCCCCTCCCCAAGTTAATGAATGTATCCTGAGGAAGGACGTGCGGGGCCCGGGCGGACCACACCCAAGGGGGGCTTGCGTGGGCACGGCGGCATCCTCGGGTTCCCAGCCTGCCCGCCCGCTGGGCCCGCACTCACGCTGCGCGTTGCAGTAGCCTCAGCAAGTGCGCGACCCGGGAGCGGGAGGCGGCAGCCATGACTGCAAGGTCGTCTCCCTGTGGCCCCGCCCCCGCTCGTGCCGGCCAATTCCTATAGCGCCTTCCTCCTCCCCCCGCCCACTCGGCCGGGACTGCCCACCCACCTCGCTAGATCAGCCCCCCAGGGTTTCCCGCCGGGGTTCAGGACCACTTTCCCACGAGTTAAAGCCTCAACCGCCCCAGCAGCAAAGTCTCCCCCCCATCCATCTCTGAAATTGCTGTAAGAGTAACTGCTCGGTAGGGTCTTGGATACTTACGTCTATCTGAAACTCTCTAGTTCACATGTGGAAAATGAGAAAAGCAAGAGCCTTCCTTTCCCACTCATTTCTTTAAAATGCTATTCTGACTCCTTAGTTTCAGAAAAAATTAAGACACTCCATTTAAACTTTTAACAAACGAGGACCCTGCAAAAACCGTGAGGGTCCCTTTTTACAGGGCTTGTGTTCAACTTCTAAATCAAGCAGGAGTAAAAGCAAAAACAATATCCAAACAAAACAGTAACCTGACCACCTCCCTCCACCACTAACTTGAGATTCTATAAAGTTAAATGTTAAATGCTCTGTGATTGGCTTGGATTTGATGAAGTTGTTCAGAATTCCATTAAATGGTTTCATGAGTAGTTAAAACTTTTTATCATTAGACTATGAGGGCATAGCAGCCCCAAGTGCATCCAAGTGGAAAAGCTGATCAATGGATCAACTTGGTGAAGCTCAACTGTAACTCAGAAAGTATCCTACGTAGTGATTGAGCATGTATCTTAAGTAACCTGCAAAAAGTCAGTATTTTCGTTTGAAAAAAATTCCCCATTTTAATTTCCTATCAATTGTCAGACTAAAGAGCAGAGTGGCTCTCGGCTCTGTAATAGCAGCAACCCCCCCCCCCCCCCCCCCCGCGCCCCGGATGCTAGATCTACTATGAATCTTTTTTCAGGAGATATTTATTTTTACAAAGATGAGTTACTAAGGTCAAATAGGAAGAAGAGACCCAGAATAGCTGTAAGTATTTTGCCACCTAAACAAACCAGGTCAGGTCACTTTTACAAATTAATCAAAAGATAGTAAAATGCTGTTCAAGTAAGAAATCTGTAAGTTTTCTGTCTTCCCAACAGATCCTACTTGAAATGTTAAATAAATCAGGGACATACACATTGAAAGACTTGAGTATTTTCTGGATGAATGATGATTATTACCATTATTTATTTGAGCCCATTTTATCATTTACAGAAAACCAATGTTTTCAGCGTTGAAAAGCAGGAAATCCCTTTTCAGAAACACCAGCTATACTACACCTTCTATATTATACCTGATATTAAAAGAAGTATGATTTTCTTTTTACAGTGGTGTCACTGAAATCATCACAATTTAGCTACCTTGTGTTTTTTACAAAGTAAACGAAAATTATCTGTACCAGATATCTAAGTCACTGGCTTTACTTAAAATTTCTACCAATAGCCGAACAGTTAAAAGCAGTATTACATACAGGCACACTTTTATTAGTAACTTTACAACAATTACTTTTAAGGCCAGTTCTGAAAATGTTATCTTTCTTTGTGCCCATCCACCCCTTTGATAAATACACAAGCTTGTTATAAAATAACACCAAACTCTCCCTCACACCACATCCAAAGTTAAAAAAAAAAAAAGGTTGTTTTGACCAAATTCTTACGTCCCCAAATACATCCTTTAAATCACCAGCCTAAGACCTGCTTGTTGGAAAAAACATTTGTGAAGTCCAATATTTACATACTCCTTGAGGAGAGGGCATTCCTATCCCTTCAACCTCAAGCTCAAAGAAGGCAGTGGCCTTCTTCATCCCCCTACAGGACTTGGGCCTCAACATTTAAAATAGTTCTTGGTTTACTGGCGGGTCGGAGGGTGAATTTTACTTCCTCTTTTTTCCTCCTTGGGGCTGCCCTCCTTTCCTCTTGCCACCCAAGCCAGGTGGCCCGGAATTCATCTTGCCTCCCAAGCCTCCTTTCCTCTCCCTGCCCTGGCTGGGTGGACCCCCTTTCCTCTTGCCTCCTGGACCCTGCCGGCCCCCCCTTCTCTTGCCCTTTTGGCTCATTTTCCTCCTTTTGGCCGCCTCCTCTTGGTCTTCCTCCCTCATCTGTTTATTGGTGGCCCTCGTCACGTCCAGCTGAGGCTTTTTGCTGTTCATGACTCGCAGCATCTCCAACTGGCTCTTTTTCTCTGCTGCAAAGTCCCCAAAAAGAGGCTGAAACTTTCTTTTCTTGCCGGAGCCCCGGGGCGCCTTCTCCTTGGGCAGGCGCTCCTGGAAGCGCCCCACAGAAGCAGTGGAGACTTTGGCCACTTGCAAGGCGCGGCCCAGCTCCTCCTTACTTTGGTGTCCGGTAGGGCGCAAGCCGGCCGAGCTGGGCAGCTGCATCTTGTGCGCGCGGGCTAAGTTACGCAGCCGGTTCAGCTCGTTCTTGGCCACTCGCTCCTTTTTGGCCTCAATCCTCTTGGCGAACTGGTCCTCCAAGGGGTCGGCATTGCCGGGCACTTCGATCAGCCATTCCTTGGTGTCGTCGCGGGCGCGCTGGTATCCCCAGCGGCGTCGCCACTGGCCGCTCACCTCATCCCACACCAAATTGGTCTTCTTCTTAGGACGGATGCCCTTAAGACGCGCGAACTGCTGCCAGCGGGTCAGCGGCCGCGGCCGAGGCACCGGCTTCTCGCGCGGCAGGCGAGTGGTGGGCTCCGGAAGCTGCGCCACCAGCGCCTCCTCCACACGCTCCGTCGGCAGCTGCCACAGCTGGTTGATGAGCAGCTGCGTGTTGTCCCGCGCCAACGCCCGCAGTTCGGCCTCCGGCGTAGGTCCCCCGCGCCGCAGGCCGGTCGGGGGGTTCCGGTCCAAGGCCAGTAGGTTACCCAGGTCGAACTCCAGTTCCAGCTCCTTGTGCACCGTGATGCGCTGCAGCTTCTCGGCTTCGTCCCGTTCGGCCTTTGCCAGCAGCTCCTCCACACTCTGGCCCTCCATGGCTCCGGCTCGGCTCACTAGCTCCAGCAAGACAGTTCAAATTACTTCCCCGCCAGCACCGGCTTAAGCCGGGGAAACACAACCACGTGCGAACACTCAGGCGCGCGCCCTGGAAAAGAAATCTTTACATCCGGAGCAACCGGAACTGGTTCATAATCCGCGCAACTCTAGAAGAGGCCGGCAGAGGGCGGTGTTGGAGAGCAGATGAGATTCAAAGCGGCCCTTTTGGCTCCAGCCGGGACGGAGGCGGAGCTGGCACGTGGAGCCCACACTACGAATTGCAGAGGCCAAATGGGACGGCGGCTCCCAGGAGGCGGTGGCGCAGGTGGGAGGTGCAAGTTCCTGGGCTACGTGTTGTGGGGTTCCGGAGCGACTCTGTCGCAGTATCATTGAAAATGTGTTCTCAAGATATTTAGCCAGTCAACCCTTTTTGGGACTGGACAAGTTATACTTCACTGGAACACTGACCCGTGCGGGGGCGGGGGTGGTCCTGGGTGAGGGTTGAGAAAAACTCTTTCCGCAGATACCTGAAGCTAAGCGTAGGAGACCTGGTTTGCTTTGGGCCCCAGGGGGGATTACAGACCGCCCTGAGTGGTGTGCGCCCACCGCATCTTGCTGAACGCTGGTGTGCCAGAGTCGGCCACCTCCTCTCTTGGCTTGTTGCAGAAGAGCGCCCGGCCCTGCAGGTGGACGGCTGGATTCCAGTCCTGACTGTGCCACTGTTTGACCTTAAGCTTTAACTTACTTGGGCTTATTTTAAAACCTGTAACCGTGTAGGGTTGTTTAAAGATAGATGAGCCAATATGCCCCCAAGGAAGCTTAGACTACAGCCTGGAACTTGTATTGCATACCAGTTATTAGTTAATCTTCATAAAGGTTCCAGGAGCTATGCTAAAGAGGCAGTCTTACACGGTGATTAAACACCAGGTTCTTGAGTCAGACAACCCAGAAACAGATTTAGGTTTACTGTACATACCTTGAACAGGTTGCTTAAGTCCTATTTATAAGGTCATAAATAGGAAACAGTTTATGGTACATAGTAAACGCTCAAGTCTTAGCTGTCGTTATTCTCTATATTATCCTGATGACAAAGGAAAGCTCAGAGAGGTAAAATGACTTGTTGAGTGTTATGTAACTAGGAAATGTGGGAGCAGAAGGAAGCTTACTCACAGCTTTAAGACTACTTAACATTCTCTGTTAAATGTCTTCTAGGCTCTTGATACATTACAAGTGTGGTCTTTGGACCAGCACGAATAGCCCCAGCTGGGAGTTTGTTAGAAATACAAAATTTCTGGCCTCACCATAGACATAATAATTTAGAACCTTCATTTTAACAAGGTCTCTAGATGATGAATATGTACAATCAAATTTGGGAGGGACTGCTGATTGTGGGGTTAAGAGGTTTTGTTTTCCCTTAAAAGGAGTTTGGGAGTATAAAAAGGGGTTATGCTGGAGACTTAACCTATAGAAATGGACATAATAGACAGTAGGGAATAGATTCGGTTTCTCCTAGAGAGGGCTTTAGATACAGCCCCATCTGACACACCTGTCCCCTGAGTTTGGTCTCTACTTGAACTCACCATTTTTACTCAGCTGTTCTTTGTTCATTCACTCATAAAACATTTAAGGAACACATTTTATACTTCAGGCATTGGGCTAGAATCTTCTTTCTTCCTCTTTTCTAAAACTGTTTTATGATTTGCCAGAGTTTTTCTGAACTTTTTTACCTTAACACACAGCACCACATCTTTAATAGCAGTGATCCTCTGGGCCAATTCTCAATCAATGGCCATATTAGGTAACATCTTTTAACCTTAAAACTTTTGGGATTTGCCTTAGAAGAGAGTTAAAGACACTGGTGTCTGCTCTAGAGTTGGCTTAGCTTCCGAATGCCTTCCATGTTCTAGACACTAGATGCAAAGATAATTGAGGTCTTATGGAACAGTGGGGAAGAAAGAAAGGTAAAGGGAATTATACCATATGGCGTGATTGGGCATTTAATAGGAAGTACAACTATGTAGGATTTATTTCCTCTAACAACCCGAGTTAGGAAAAAAAAAAGTGATGTCAACAGGAGCTGAATGGTGTGAATTCTCACTGGTTGAAATGGTATTTGGTTTGAATCATGTAAGTCAGCTCTTAATTGAATTCTAATTGTTTTATGCTCAATGGCTTTTTAGTCCAAGTGGATTTTAATTTCCTCAATGACTGGAGACTGATTTTTACTTCCACTTTGTTGAACATAGTGCTAAATGCATAATAAGTTTTCAATACATGATTACTTGAAAGAATAAGCCTAGTAAACAGACTTATCTTTTTTAAAATTATATTTTATTGATTATGCTATTACAATTGTTCCAATTTTTCCCCCTTTGCCCTCTTCCACTCAGCACCCCCCAGTCCCTCAGGCGATCCCCACACCATTGTTCGTGTCCCTGGGTCATGTGTAGGCTATTTGGCTACTCCATTTCTTCTACTGTATTTTATATCCCTGGGCTATTCTGTAACTATCTATTTTTACTTCTTAATCCCCTCACCTCATCACCTATTCCCCCACAGCTTCTTTCCATATAACAACCATCAAAATGCTCTCTATCCATGGTTCTGTCTCTATTTTTTTGTTTGCTTAGTTTTTAGATTCAATTTTTGATAGATAAGTATTTATTGCCATTTTATTGTTCATAGTTTTAATTTTCTTTTTCTTAAATAAGTCCCTTTAACATTTCAAATAATAATGCTTTGGTGATGACGAACGCCTTTAGTTTTTTCTTGTCTGGAAAGCTCTTTATCTGCCCTTTAGTTCTAAATGGTATCTTTGCTGGGTAGAGGAACCTAGGCTATAGGTCCCCATCTATCATGACTTTGTTGTTTTTTTTAATATATATATTTTATTGATTATGCTATTACAGTTGTCCCATTATTTCTCCCCTTTATGCCCCTCTGCCCTGCAACCCCACCTCCCAGAATCTTTCCCCCACACCTTAGTTCATGTACGTGGGTCATACATGTAAGTTCTTTGGCTTCTCCATCTCCTATGCTATTCTTAACTCCTCCCCCCCCATCTATTTTGTACCTACTGTTTGTGCTTCTTATTCCCCATTCTCCCCTCTCCCCCTACCCCCTGATCTCCATTTCTGTGATTCTGTTCCTGTTCTAGTTGTTTGCTTAGTTTTGCGTGTGTGAGTGTGTGTCTGTTTTAGGTTCAGTTGTTGATAGTTCTAGGTTTGTTGTCATTTTACTGTTCATAGTCCTTCATCTTCATCTTTTTCTTAGATAAGTCCCTTTAATATTTCATATAATATGAGCTTGGTGATGATGAACTCCTTTAACTTGACCTTATCTGGGAAGCACTTTATCTGCCCTTCCATTCTAAATGATAGCTTTACTGGATAGAGTAATCTTGGATGTAGGTCCTCGCCTTTCATGACTTTGAATACTTCTTTCGAGCCCCTTCTTGCCTGAAAGGTTTCTTTTGAGAACTCAGCTGATAGTCTTATGAGAACTCAGCTGATAGTCTTATGGGAACTCCTTTTTAGGTAACTGTTTCTTTTGCTCTTGCTGCTTTTAAGATTCTCTCTTTATCTTTAATTTGCGTAATGTAATTATGATGTGCCTTGGTGTGTGCTTCATTGGGTCCAACTTCTTTGGGACTCTCCGAACTTCTTGGATCTCCTGGAAGTCTATTTCCTTGGCCAGATTGGGGAAGTTCTCCTTCATTATTTTTCCAAGTAAATTTTCAATTGCTTGCTCTTCCTCTTCTCCTTCTGGCACCCCTATGATTTGGATGTTGGAACATTTAAAGTTGTCCCAGAGCTTCCTAAGCCGTTACTCATTTTTTGAATTCTTCTTTCTTCATTCTGTTCTGGTTGAATGTTTATCTCTTTCTGCTCCAAATTGATTTGAGTCCTAGTTTCCCTCCCTTTACTGTTGGTTCCCTGTATATTTTTCTTTATTTTACTTTGCATAGCCTTCACATTTTTGTCCATTTTGTGACCATACTCAATCATTTCTGTGAGCATCCTGGTTACTAGTGTTTCCAATTGTGATCTGCTAGGTTGGCTATCTGTTCATTGCTTATTTCTGTTTTTGGACCTTTGATCTGTTCTTTCATTTGGGCCATATTTCTTTGTCTCCAGGCACCTGTTATGTTGGAAGGGGTGGAGCCTTAGTTATTCACCAGGTCAGGGAAACCCAGGTAGCTGCATTGTGATGATGTGTGTGAGGAAGGGTTGTGTGGAGAGGGAACAATGCCGCTTGCTCAGCTCTCCGCCGGCTTTCAGTTACTTCCCCCGCTACCCGCAAGTGAATTGAGCTGTTCTGGTGCTGACTCCCGGGTGAGTGGGTTTGTGTACCCTCTAAGACCCTGTGGGTCTCTCCAATGAACGGTCCTGTGAAGCTGGGAGTTTCTATTGCTGCTGCAACCCCCACAGATTTTTACAGCCAGAGGTTTTGAGGCTTTCTTTTCCCACACCGGAACCCTGTATTATGAGGTCTTTCTCACTCCCCAGCTGTTCCTTCCATTTCATCCGCCTGCAAATATGGGACTGACCAGATTGCAAGTCGCCATCTTGCCTGCCTGGCTTCATGTCCTCTCTGCCCTGGCTGCCCATCTCTACCCTTCCTACTGGTCTGGATAAATGTTTTTTCTTTAACTCCTTGGTTGTTGGACTTCCACACAATTCAATTTTCTGACAGTTCTGGTTATTTTTTGTTTTTAAATTTGTTGTCGTCTTTCTTTTGGTTGTGAAGGGAGACAATGTGTATCTACCTACACCTCCATCTTGGCGGGGAGTCAGTTCCTCTAGTGAACACCTATCATGACTTTGAATATTTCTTGCCAATCCCTCTAGCTTGCAAAGTTTCTTTTGAGAAATCATCTGACAGTCTTATGGGAATTCCCCTGTAGGTAACTAACTGCTTTCATCTTGCTGCTTTTAAGAGTGCCTCAGTTATCTTGAACTTTTGGCATTTTAATTATGATATGTCTCAGAGTGAGTCTCTTCACACCCATCTTGTTTGGGACTCTCTGTGCTTCCTGGGCTTACATGTCTATTTCCTTCACCAAATTAGGGAAGTTTTCTTTCATTATTTTTGCAAAT